ACCCATATTCAGGGGGGCCTGAGTCAGTCCCCTGTTGGCTTCCCAGCTATCAGTCTAGTGGCCATTAGCTCCTCCTTGTTCAGGTCAGCTGTCTCTGCCACCTGGACTTGTCCTCTCCATCTGCATCTGAATTCTACTTCAATTCAGTGTTTATGTATGGGTGTTTGCTCCTGTTTCCAACAGGCATTAGTTGAGGGCTCCATGGAGAAGTTAGTTGTTGATCTCACTCTCCGGGAAGGGCATTTATGATAGCCTTTCCACGGAAGCTCAAATTGTTATTTGGCAGCAGTCTTGTAGTTCTCTAGACCTTTCTTTGTGTTCAATTTTATCTTCAAACCAATATAAAGTCCCTCACAGAACTGGTAAGGGACAAGTCCCCCAGAGCTCAGGGGAAGTGGGGAGGCAGCGAATAGAGAGAGAAGTAGGAGAAAACAAGGGGGGAGGAAAGGAAAACGTGCAACCAGGAAGATTGAGCCTGGTTAGGAATAGAAGACAGGAAAGAGAGAGAGACAGAGAGAGAGAGACAGAGAGAGAGAACCTAAAAGAGGGAGCCAATATTGATTCTATAATTTTTATATCTTTTATTGATATATAATGTGCTACGAAGCATTCTTGGGGGCTAATTTAGTCAATAAAAATGCTTGAAAAAACAAAAAGCCCTTCCAGTTTATTGCACAAAGGAGGGAACTATTAATAACTGCCTAGGTAAAGGGACAGCATCTGTAGCCTGGGAACTAAAATTAGTGACAATACTGAAGGGAGTTCTACCAAATTATGCTTCCCAGAAGACAGCCATGGGCACTTGTGTAAGGAACACAGATCACCTCCATTAGCTTCGAAAAAAAAATGCAAAGACTTCTACATGTGGGCATTTAATTACACTGTTTATCTAATCACTTTGTGGACATTTATATAAACAAGATTGCTAGGAGAACTTGCTTTACTTTGAGAAGCAAAGGGTAGCAGAGGACATGTTTATATAAAAAAAAATTGCATTTTAAGCTAATCGATCCATTACTACAAGGCATTTTATACTATTTTTCAAAAATCACAGGGTCCTGTCATTAGGTGCAGGAAAAGGTTTTGTGACAAAATCCAAAACCCTCTTATGATAAAAGTTCTAGAGGATCTAGGTACATGGGGGAGTGTTCATAATAACAATGACAATATACATGAATTCCACCACCAAAACCACATTAAATGGAGAAAAGCTCAAAAAGAATTTCTACTAAAATAAGGAACAATAAATGGTGTTCACTGTCTTTATTCTTGTTCAGTATATTGCTTGGAGAGTTAGCTAGAGCAATAAATGAAAGAAATAAAGCAGTACAAATAGAAAGGATGCCAAATTACTCCTATGTGAAAATAATATAACTCTCGCTATAAAAGTACCTACATACTCCACCAGGAAACCTCTACAATTGATGAATTAATCAGCAAAGTAGCAGACATACAAAGTTAACATGTAAAAATCAGTAGCTTTCCTGTATACAAACAACAAACATACTGAGAAAGAAATTAGGAAAACAGTCCTATGTACTGCAACCTGAAAAATATCTTGAAATAAATCTAACTATGGAAGTGAAAGATAGATTTATAGCATAAAAAACAATACAGTAGCAAAGAAAGTAATTCAAGAAGATACTGGAAGATACAAAGAACTTCCCATGCTCCTGGGTTGATAGGAATAATATTGTCAAATGGCCATACCACCAAAAGCAAATTTTAGACTTGTGAAAATCCCCATTAAAATTCTAACTCAATTATCATGGAATCAATCTTGAATTTATTTGGAAGCATACACGAGAGAGAAAGAGAGAGCGAGCACAATCCTGAATAATAAAAGAACTAGTGGTAGTATCATTATCACTGATTCTAAATTTGTAGCTCTAGAGCTGTAGCAACAATACAGAGGAAAACAATAGTGTAGCAGAGAAGTGGTTCTTTCACAATTCTATTTTCCCTTCTAAAGGCATGTGATAATCACAACAATGACAATAACCACAATGATAGTATGGAACACTTAATTAGTGTTTACTTATAATAGATCTAACGTGGGGCTTTTGCTGATAGTAATTTGTTTGCTGTTACCATAACCTGTGGACTTGGTGACTGTTATCGCCATTTTATACACAAAGTTTGCTTATAACATAGTTTGCTTAAGTATCATGTCCAGGATCATTGAGCTAAATGCTTCATTTGAATGAATACATGGGATTGGGTTCATATCAAGAGAAGATAAGACATCTTCATTTTATTCCTGATTCATATGTAAGAGCATGAAACCCCAACATTCAGAAGTCCCTTTTTAACCTCCATGGTCTGTATAGAGATCACTTACGTTTTTTTCTGGTTCTGTACTAGGGATTGACCCTAGGCCTCCCATTGCTAGACAAACACTGTTACTGATAGCTGTGTGCCAAGTGCCAGAGATAACTTAAACTTTCTATGAAAGCACACATACTATAAAACCTGATGACTGAGAGTTCTCCTATCCAGTGTGGGGATTCTAGAAGGAATGGCGATTTTCTTGGCTAGTCATGATGCCTTTATGTATAAAATCAGTATTTTAGATTAAACCATTCTTCCAACTTGGAACTGATCTGAGAAAAGTGATAAGCCATAGAACCCTGGCATGGAGGCAAAGTGACCAATGTACAAATATGTCTCTCCTTTGAGTTTGCCTTTGTTATATCAAAATTCTAGCTTAGCACTTTCAGGAAATCACTGTTAACGTGTAAATGAAGATAGAATACAAGGAATGTGGTGGCATTTTATGCCCTTGTGCTCAATTACACAATGCAGTCACTTGAAATAGCAGAGACCACTGCCCCCAAGGCAATTTATACATGGTGAGCAAAGTGAATGGGAAAACAACACCTCACATGGCTGTGAAGAACAGGACACTGCACAGTAGGAATGACAGTGGTGGAGGTACTGTAACTGCTGTAGTAAAGGGCAAGAGTACAGGGCATTCAGAGGGGTATCTTAAAAGAGATAGGGCCTGAAAAGGGAAATAGGAGTGGCATAGTGAAGTGTAGATCACTTCATCTCACCAGGGACGTTCTCACTTTTCCAGCTATCCTGATAGAAATGGCACCAACTTATATCTAGAGGTGGTATGTTACAGCTGAAAGAGCAGGATTTATAGGGTCAAGCAAACAAGGATTCAAATCCAATTCTATTAGTATGGATTTGACTCAGTTATCCCTCCTATACAATGTGTAGTATTTTCATATAACCTGTACACACCCTCTTGTACCATATCTATGTCATATGATATATGGTGCAACATAAATAGTTGTCACCCTGCATTCCTTAGGAGATGATGACAAGGAATAAGTCCACATGAGTTCAGTAAAGTTACGATTTTCCTCTGGACATTTATAAATCACAATTGGTTGAAACTGTGAATGCAGAATGTAGATAAGAAGAGCTGACTGCATACAAGCTTAGTTTGAAGGAAAATGAAGAGGACTCTAGCATGTTAGGAATGCACTGATGTTCCTTTCATGTTATGTTAAGGTGAAATTTAACATTTGTTAGACAACTAAAACAAAGGAGCTAGAAAACATTAATGGTGATGACCATGATGAGAACAGTCATACTTCCAAAGACAAGTGTGCCTAGGATATTATAGAGGGGGGGAGGAGAGGGAGAGAGAGGGAAAGGGAGAGAGAGAGGGAAAGGAAGAGAGAGAGGGAAAGGAAGAGAAAGAGGGAGGGAGGGAGAGAGACTGTGTGTGTAATGTTAAATTAACCCTAATAGGTGAGGTAATACAGAGTGGTTGCATCATTTGCCCATGGTTACATAGATGATCGAGGTCCCTGACACACACACACACACACACACACACACACACACACACACACACACACACACACACACACACAAAACTGTATTCTCTCACAATATCTGGAACTTGGGCACAGCCACAATTAATAACTCTATACTCCTGCAAATCTGTGCCTTTGTTTCTTTTTGCTAGTATTCTTCTTTCTGCTGTCAATGGAGGACACTGAACTGCCTATGGTAACTAATACTTCGATTTTCCATTCCCTAAAAACCCTTGTCACTTTCTCCCTGGAACTATCTTCAAGTGAGTTCAGCTAGAAGACCTCTATATTCCCCTAGTGAGAGCCCGAACTGTGCCTGTCCTTATGAGCCATCTCAAGTAGGGTTTCTTATACTGATAGACTGATAGACCATATAACCCCATGCAGCATGAAAGAATTGTGATAATGAACAAAGCAAATTCCTGTAGTAGAAGCAGAGGAGAATGGTTTCCTAGACAGATAAATACTTTCCAGTAGAATAACCTTAGCAGCAGAAATCAGTTTTACAGTTCTAGTAATGTAACTACAGCAGCAGTCAGTGCTACTTTCCAGCTGTGTGGTCTATGTGGGTTATCTTAGAGGCCAATCACCATTTGAAGTCTGTTTCTATAGGAAAATGTTTCCCAACAGACAAGGTAAAAGGATCATGAATGGATCCAATATCCATCAGAACCTCATATACAGTATGTACTAAAAATGTGTATTGATTGATCTTTAATAGAATTGTCACTCATCACATAAGCAAGTATGACATTGAGCTGTCTGGGATTTTCATATCAATCAAGCTTTAAATTAGAATTGTATAGCCAAGTTAAATGTGGCCTTCAGAGTGTGAGTTAAATGTCATTCCATATTTTGGTTAATATGATTGTACAAATAACTAAAGAAGGATATGTATAATTTTCCAGGAGGCTTATAGTTTACAAGCAAGTAGATATTGGAATGATCCCTCATTCTAGGGAATACTGCTAAGTGGTTCAGTATCTCAGGATTCTTGTTCTGATTTTTGGTATAGTATTTCCAAGGATGGTTTAGATGACCCAGCTACTTGCCTGTTGGATGGACGTGTACTTTGTCTAGGGAAAATGACTCCTTGAGTATATGCTTTGGATACAGAAAAAAAAAACTGCTTATTTCAGAAAAGAAATGATGTTGCTATTTCAGATGTAACTGCGTGGAGCCACATAGTCCCAGCAATGACACCCTGAAGGAGTGGAGGGAGTCCAATATCTCTGCCTCTGACATAATTTGGGGGAACCTAAGCGTGTCAGTAAGTAAAACATGGCACAAGAAGTCACATCTTAAGTCATTTGCTGTACAGACTTTTATTGACATTTTTAATCAGTATTGCAACTAAGGTAAGAACTTTGAAAACACAAACAATGATAGCTATGTTTTAAAGTTCCTCCATTTCAGATACCCATCCACACAGGGTTCACACAGGGTTATCATTCCTCACAAAAGTGATTTTTTTTTTTTTTTTTTTTTTTTTTTTTTTTGCTCTGAAGGGTCTCACAAACAGAAAATTTGACTGAAGTCAAATGAAAACATTAAATTCTATTGCTGGTGACCATCATGGTAGGGCAGGTTCTCCCTTGAACATGAAGGACCTAGGCTATTCCTCTTTCTCTGCCTCTCCCACTGTTCAGAACAGGATGGAGGGAGAGAGTGGGTGTGATGTTTTACAGTAAATACTATTCTTTGATGAACCTGACAGTTTAAAAAAATCCTCTCATATGTTTCTCAACAGATTTCCAACTTCCGTTTTTATTCTTTTGTCTACTAAAAAAGGGAAGGTGCTAGATACACACTTTTTGCCTATAATGGTTAAATGCTGTATCTTTGGTTCCCCCACCCCTTAGGTTCTTCTTTGTAAGTTTTCCTCTCACAGGAATATTTCTCTGTTCTTATTCTGTAACCTGTGTGTGTGCATCTCTTAGAATCTGTATTCACAAGCTTCACCTATTGCTGTTCAGTGAAAGCATGAGATTTGGATAAAACAAGTGTTCTGCTTTAAAATAAAGACAGAAGTTCCTCAGTATCCATACCCTCTTTTCTATTCCTCCCAGTTATATACATTATTATTCAAAGCTTTTGCCACTTTGTCTGCCCTTATGGTCACAAATTTCTTTATAGTCGTCAGCATAAAACCAAACAAATTCTACTTCATTTGCTCAAACACATACTATTTTAGTGAGTCAGTGGAACACGGAAATGTTTTTGTTGTATAAGTATTATAAGCCTCTAAATATTTTATTTAAGGAAGACATGGCCTATTATCTGTTTCTGTTATATATGTTCCTTCAGAATTAAAATCAAATAACTTACTCTTGGTTTAAAGTTCAATCATGGCCTATATTTTATGACCTTTCTTTTCCCCTGTGTTCTCTCCCCCGCCATGTGTGAGACATGCAGTAAGCATAAAGTAGATATTAAATGTTGGATTTTGTAGGCTATTGATTTTACTTTTTAAAATCTGGTCATGCTGAAAAGGTTGGTCCCTTGTCATTCTCTTTAGAACAAGCCTATGTGTGCTCCTGTCTCCTTTTGGGGCTAACATGTATTCTTTCCTCCCTGCATTTCCCTACAAAAGTAATGCAACCAGGCTTCTTGCACCCAGAAAACCTTTTAAACTGATCAGTAAAGGAACCAATGACGTGAACAAGAAAGAGCAATGTAGTGTATTAAAAACTTAGATCATTGTGGATGTGCTTTGTACCAAATGTTCTTTCTAGATTGCCTGTTTATAAACTGTATCTAAGCACTTGGGAGGCAGAGGCAGGTGGATCTCTGTGAGTTTGAAGCCAGCCTGGTCTACAGAAAGAGTTCCAGGACAGGCTGCAAAACAATACAGAGAAACCCTGTCTCCAAAAACCAATAAATAAATAAATAAATAAATAAATAAAATAGTTAAATTGTATCTAAAAAGCTTGTATTTGTGTCACTTATCTCTTATTTTCTTTTCAGTACAAATTCAAAATAATCCAGTCTAAATTATTTAAAAAAATAATTCATGTTTCTGTATTTTCTGAATCATTTAGTACTAATAGTAAAATTTACTCTCTATATAAGCTAATCCCAAATAATAGCCTTCTAAAGACAGACTTGTTACACCATCGATATATTTAGTAATAGTGAATTATTTTCAATTTGTTACTTAATGTTTTGAATAAGTATATTTGATGGTGTTTTCCCTTTCCACTTCCTCTGAGATCATTCCTGCCTCCCCACACACACAACTTTTAAAAATAAAAGTTTTGAGCCCTGTGATGGTAGATAAGTTAGTTATCAATCTCATTATCAGGGAAGGGGATTTAAGGTAGCCTTTCCACTGTTGTTCAGATTGTTAGTTGAGGTCATTTTTGTAGGTCTCTGGACATTTCTCTAGTGCCAGATTTCTTTTTAAACCTATAATGGCCCCCTCTATTAAGTTATCTCTTTTCTCACTTTCCTCTGTTCATCCCCCAACTGAATCTTCCTGATGCCTCATGTTCTCCTTCCCCTCCTCCTCTCTCCTCTATCCCCCCGCTCCACCATGCTCCCTTTTTTGTTCAGGAGATCTTGTCCATTTTCCCTTCTCTGGGGGACCACGTATGTCTATCTTGGGGTCCTCCTTTCTTAGATTTAACCAGAAACTTTCTTAATCACAAGAATGAATGTTACACGAAAAAGCCCTATGATTCTTAAGTCAATGAAAATTAATTTATCTTATGCTATTTTCCCCAGTATGTCCATAATTAGTACCTAATGTATATATTAACAAAGCACTATATTGATGATTATTATAACTACATTTGCAAAAATAGTGATATAGCATTTAATTTATATATTATATATTTGGCATATCATATATTATTTTTATTTTATCATAATATATCTCATGATCACTAATTTATTCCTTGCTAATTCAGAAAAGGCAAAGAATCAGAATGAAAGTTTCAAATATTTGATGATTATATTGAACTACTCTTGTGAAATATTACTTTAACTATGTAAAGATGTGTTGCATTTGTTTATGCTGCATTTGTTTAATTATGTAAAGATGTATTGCTGTTTTACCTCACTCACCTAAGTCACCTGACTGGTCTAATAAAAAAGCAGAACAACCAATAGCTAATCAGGAGGGATGGAGGAGCTGGCAGGCAGAGATGGTAATAAAAGGAGGAATCTAGGCTCAAGAGAACAGAAAAGAGAAGAGAACAAGGGAGAAAGACAGGAGACACCTAGAGCCAGACAGGCAACCAGACACAGAGTAGGACACACAGAATGAAAGAAAGGTAAAAAGCCCTAAGGAAACATGGATGAAGAGAAACAGGTTAATTTAAGTTATAAGTAGCTAGTGGGACAAGCATAAGAAAAGGCCAAGCAGTTCTCATGATTTGGGAGCTCGTTGGTGGTCTAAAGGAAAGCCTGCTACAAACTACCTGCATCTCACATGTTTACTATTTAATTCAACTTTTATGGCAAGCTAGTATAGTTAGATTTCTGTCTCTATGTACATACATAAGTGGAGTCAGCAATAGCTCAAAGTTAACCATTCTAAAGAATATTTAGGCACAGTTTAAAATATTTCATATATGCACATAATAGCAATTAGTGGGGAAGAGGCCATGAATTTTATGAGAACCAGGAGGAGTATAGGGGAAGGTTTGGAGGGAGGAAAGGGGAGGGGAAGTGTAGTTAGTTTGTAATCTCAAACTTTAAAACAAAAAGAAAAAGTATTTGCAAGCGATTATCAATTGATTAAAAATCATTTCAATGCTTTTTAACACATACACATATACACATACATATATATGTGGAAATACATTCATAACTCTAATTGTTATTTCATAAAACTTATTTTTACCAACTTGCAAAATTTTTTAAATAAAACGTGTTCATAGAGTAATTAATAGAAATCTGTTTGCTATCAAGTATATTTTGAGTACCTGTTGTAAGTTAAACTGTGTTAGACTAAAATAAAAGAAAGGTTTTGAATTTTGCTTGCATTTCTAAATTTCAGAACCCATTTCTCTTCCTGTCTGTCTGCCCCTTTGTTTCTATACAAACTTTACTTTTCAAAATTAGATATCCTGTTCACTGGAAAACAAGAAAAACTAATACTTTATGATCTGCTTGAGTTGAAATAACTAGGCTTAGCATTGGCAGTTTGTTTTAGATAAGGCAGTTGAACCATCTTTTACTAGTATCTGTCTTTTTAAGAGTAGAGGTTATGAGTCAACTGTATCCAGGTGATGTGTAGAAGCCTTTCACACCTGCACCAAAGTTTGCAGGTGCTCACAGATCAATATGCACCTGTGTGGGACCCTCACCTCCTCTACTTCGACATCCTGGGATCATTGCACTGTTTAGTAATTGTTCCTAGTTTTCTGAGCAGGCATACACACACACACACAAAAAAAAAAAGATGGAAAAATTCAAGGATTAGGTTATTTTTTAGGAGAGGTTATTCTGATTTAGAACATGAAAATTAAGACTATAAATAGTGCCTATAAGCGTATTCTGTAGTTTTTCAATAGCTATTTTTCTGTACCTTGAATCAGCTTACCATGAATAATTGAAGTTTAAGTAACAAGAAAGTTACTGCCGGGTCTGTTAGGTGGTTGCAAACTGTGCTGATAGTATTTATCTAGAGGCTTTGGATAGGGTACTTATGTCAGGTAGAATTTACTGGCTGATTGCATGTTTCAGAGGACAGTGTAGCCTCTTGTTCATCCTAAAACCTTTCAGAGGAGTCTTATGTTATGCTATAGAGGACTCAGTGCCTTGAGGTTTGATTCAGTGAAAATACTGTGTCCTCTCAATTTCTTCCTGCTATTGTACAATTCAAGTTTTGTTCAGAATACCTAGATGACTAAAGAATTCAGTGGATTATTTAAGCTTTTATTTATTTATTTTGGAACAAAGTAATACAATTTTTAGAACACAAAATTTTTGTAAGATGACAGAAATATTTTTTTTCTTTTCAAAATATTTAATGCTTGTATAAAATGTTGTTTTGTCTTGAAGTTCTTTTTGACTTTGCTGCCACCTAATGGCAAAGGCAGTAATTTTAAAAACGGGTTTTCCTTTTTTTTTTTTTTTTTTTTTTTTTTTTACAAAGAAAAAAACAGAAGAAAAAGGATATATATGGAAAGCAGAATAATAGACATAAACTTGTAGTAATTGTTTTCTTCATTTGTTTTTCTTCATTTGAATTTCAATAGTTACCATATCTGATTCAAGGTCCATTTCTTTAATTACATATCATCAGTTTCTTGTTGCCTTTCTCATCTTCCTTGGTAGCTTTAAACAAGTTTTCCTAAATAATTACTGGTTTTTAATGTGCTATTATTCCTACTTCAGAAGTTGTGCATGTGCCCAGCCCTACCACACAGCATCGATGAGGCTGAAGTACATTGTTTAATCTCTCCATGTATCTGATGTTAGTATAAACTAAACTTAGCAAACTTACCATAATTTCAATACATCTGTTATCTTGAACTTAATAGATGTTAAGTTTAATATCTATCCAAGTAGAATTTTGAAAGCAAGTACCATATCTGCTAAATCCTTGTGGGAGCCATTGGTGAGCAGTGTTGGTATGTCAGCTGCAGCTGCCTGAACTTTCTTAACCAACTCTGTACCTCGTCCCGAGCAGGAGTGCAGATCACTGCATGGAGAGTATGTTGGGCGAGCCTGTGGTCATGGCCACCCCTACGTGCCGGATGTTCTCTTTTGGTCGGTGATCCTGTTCTTCTCCACAGTCACCATGTCAGCCACCCTGAAGCAGTTTAAGACGAGCCGGTATTTCCCAACCAAGGTACTTGGACTCTAATATTCCTTACCCAAATACAAACTGAAGCGCGGTGTTGTGATGTCCCACATGCTTAAGGACAAAGGAGAGTTACTGACAATTGAAGGGAGCCATGGAGAGGTTTTGTCATGAGGGAATTGGCAAGTTAGAGGTAAGCTGTAGAAAGGGGCTGAAGAGGAAGCACTTCATGACTCGGGTATCTGAGGTGCCACAAGCCCTTCAGGTTTTACTTCTGAGTGTCAACACTTCCCTTCCCACTTAACAGTTTTGGAAAGGATAAGCACACACCATGTTACCAATTGTCCCTTCCCCAGTGCGCAGAAGGGCCTATTCCAGCCTGACAGATATCTCAGAGGAACAGATGTTACATTTTCTAAATCACTGGTTCTCAGCCTTCTTAATGCTATGACCCTTTAAAACAGTTCCTCATGTTCTGATGACCCCCAACTGTAAAGTTATTTTAATTGCTAATTCATAACTATAATTTTCTACTGTTATAAATTATAATGTAAATATCTGTATTTTCTAATGGCCATAGGCAAACCTCTGAAAGGGTCTTTTGATGCACAAAGGGGGTCACTAACCACAGAACCATTGCCTTTGTTGAGAAGTCCTGCAATGCTCATTAGAAACATTATTTCTCTCTCTTGTTTCAAAAGTGTGAATCATTTCCTCTAACCCAGCATGCTTGTATCTGCGTATTTGGGAAGTAGACAGAGAATCAGTTGAGTTCAACATTTTTTAAAATTTTTTTATTTAATAATTTTTCTTATTTTATATATCAATCCCAGTTCCCTCTCCCTCCCATTCTCCCATTCCTCCCACAGACCCCCCCATCCACTCCCCTGGGAGGTTGGGGCTTTCCATGAGGGATCATCAAAAACTGTCAAGTTATTTGGGATAGGGCCTAGGCCTTCCCCCAAGTCTCTAGGCTAAGGGAGTGTCACTCCATGGGGAATGGGCTCCCAAAGTCCATTCATGCACTAGGGATACTTCCTGGTTCAACTGGCAGAGGTCCCATAGACTGCCCAGACCTCCTAACTGAGACCCACATTCAAGGGGTCTGGGCTGGTCCTGTTCCAGTGTCCCAGCTATCAGTCTGGGGATCCATGAGCTCCCCCTTGTTCAGGTCAGCTGTTTCTGTGGGGTTTGTCCAGACTCATCTTGACCCCTTTGCTCATCATTCCTCCGTCTTTGTAACTGGATTCCAGGAGTTTGGCTCAGTGTTTAGCTGTAGGTGTCTGCTTCTGTTTCCATCAGCTACTAGATGAAGGCTCTAGGATGGCATATAGGGTAGTCATCAATCTTACTATCACGGAAGGGCATTTAATGTAGTCTCTCCAGTATTGTTTAGATTGTTAGTTGGGGTCATCCTTGTAGGTCTCTGGACATTTCCCTAGTGCCAGATTTCCCGTTAAACCCATAATGGCTCTCTCTAAATGGTATTTCTTTTCTTGTTCTCCTCTATTCTTGCCCTGGCTCAGTCTTCCTGCTCCCTGTGTTCTTCTCTCCCCTCCTCCCCTTCTCTTCCTCCTAACTCCCTCTCTTCTCCCCCCATGCTCCCAATTTGCTCAGGAGATCTTGTCCCTTTCCCTTTCTATGGGGGGACCATGTAAGTCTCTCTTAGGATCTTTCTTGTTTCCTAGCTTCTCTGGTGGTGTGGAATGTAAGTTGGTGATCCTTTGCTCTATGTCTAAAATCCATATATGAGTGAGTACATACCATGTTCCTCTTTTTGTGACTGGGTTACTTCACTCAGGATGATTTCTTCCAGTTCCACCCATTTGCCTGCAAATTTCAAATTCCATTGGTTGTTTCCACTGAGTAGTATTCCATTTTGTAAATGTACCACATCTTCTTCATTCATTCTTCAATTGAGGAGCATCTAGATTGCTTCCAGATTCTAGCTATTACAAATAATGCTGCTATGAATATAGTTGAACAGATGTCTTCGTTGCATGAATGTGCATCTTTTGGGTTTATGCTTAAGAGTGGAATTGCTGGATATTGTGGTAGACTGATTCCCATTTTCCTGAGGAACCGCCATACTGATTTCCAAAGTGGCTGTACAAGTTTGCACTCCCACCAGCAGTGGAGGAGTGCTCCCCTCTCTCCACATCCTCTCCCGCAAAAACTATCTTTGGTGTTTTTGATTTTAGCCATTATGACAGAAGAAACATGGTATCTCAGAGTTGTTTTGATTTGCATTTCCCTGATGGCTAAGGATGTTGAGCACTTTCTTAAGTGTCTTTCAGCCATCTTAGATTCCTCTAATTGAAAATTCTCTATTTAGTTCCATAGTCCACTTTTTAATTGGATTATTTGGTGTTTTGGTGACTAGCTTTTTGAGTTCTTTGTATATTTTGGAGATCAGCCCTTTGTCAGATGTGGGGTTGGTGAATATCTTTTCCCATTCTGTGTGCTGCTGTTTTGTTTTGTTGACTGTGTCCTTTGCCTTACAGAAACTTCTCAGTTTGAGGAGGTTCCATTTATTAATTGTCGATCTCAGTGTCTACTGGTGTTATATTCGGGATGTGGTCTCTTGTACCAATTCATTCAAGTGTACCTCCCACTTTCTCTTCTAAGAGGTTCAGTGTAGGTGGATTATGTTGAGGTCTTTGATCCATTTGGACTTAAATTTTGTGCATGGTATTAGATAGCTCTGTAATAGAGCTTGAAGTCAGGGATGGTGATGCCTCTGGAAGTTCCTTTATTGTTCAGGGTTGTTTCAACATTTAACACTGCAAAGTAAGAACTATGATGTCTGATTCTACCACCAAAAGCAACAGAGGCTGAGACCGGAAACAAAATCAAGGAAGCAAGCATCTACAGGTTGGGGTATACATGTCAAAAACATTCTACCTTGGCACGTGTGTCAAGAAGAGTCCCTTCCCAGAGAGTTGCTTTTTCTGTCACCTTCGCCTTTGCTAAGATGACAGATTAATTTCTTCCATCCCAGAGTAAGCTGATTAATACTGAATTAGTCTCTATATGTTGGAACCTTAATCCTAAATATTTTGTGTATGTTGCAAAAGCAAAAACATAAAAAGCAAATATTGTTGATAAATGCTTCAGGATAATTACTCAAGTGTGTCCTTCTAGAACCTGAAAGATGTTTCAGTCAGTGCAGTGCTTGTCTTATAAGTATGAGATCCTGAATCCAGAGCCCTAGAACACATGTAAAAAAAAAAAATCCCAAAGACAGTGAGAATGGTGGACCCTGCATGTGTCTGTGCCTTTAACCTGGCCTACTTGGTGAAGTTCCATGCCATTAAGAAATTGTCTGAGGGCTATTATCTAAAGAGGTTATTTTCTAACTTGCATGTGTATGCCATGTACTGTATGCCCTACACAATGGCTTTCTACATTGAAAAATGGTTCAAAAACTGGTTTACATAGAATTCATTTTAAATAAAAGAAAATTTAAAACTTGCCCATACTGTTCTTGTATATTATTAATTGTCATGCTTTAAGTAAAGTAATTAAAATAGGTAATTTTATTTAATGATTCTTTAGATTCTTAATATTAAAATGTAACTTTTATGAAAGAGTCCTAAAATTCATCAGATTCAGGCCAGATGACCACAACCTGTGTTCTAAATTTTCACATAGTTGGGATTGAAATAAATGATTTAAATAAATATTAAGAAGAAAATGACCACCATTATTTCAGTTCAATAAATCTTTATTATGAAAAGTGTGGATGAGGAACAGAAATATGTATTCTAGCATAGCTAGTGATAATACTTTATGTGCATACAATGTAACATCACAGAATTATGTCACAGCATTTATAAAGTACAATTTGAGACTGCTTCTGAATATTCATTGTTATTATAGCCTCCTCAAGTAACAGCATTTTCATTATTTTTAGGTTCGATCCATAGTGAGTGATTTTGCAGTTTTTCTTACAATTCTGTGTATGGTTTTAATTGACTATGCCATTGGAATTCCATCGCCAAAACTACAAGTACCAAGTGTTTTCAAGGTGAACATAATCATCATTTAACATCTATCTACTTTTCTATCTCTCTGTGTCTAAATCTTCATGTAGATGATATCTGTGACCCCAGCACATGAGATTTTCTGAGAGCATGAGCAATATACATTACTAGAATAAGAAGTAAAAGGGAATCATGGAAATGACACCTGAAGTCTGCTTCAGCATTATATACAGTTGGAATATGTATGCACTTTACAACATGCCTAATCCCAAGGAATCATTCTGAAACCCAGGAACATGCATAATTTTGAGGCAAAACTATAGAGTGAATGGGGTTTGAAATTCAGATAAAACAGGTTTCGGGTGAGAATGCCAACCACATTACAAAGGAAGGGCATGACCTTGAAGCCAAGAACCTACTGTCTCAGCCTGTTTTCTCATCTGTCAAACAGAGCTAGGAACTTAATCATAGGATTTTTGCTATCATAATGATTTCCCCTGGGTCACAGTTCCAGCATCAGACATATTTTGAACCTTTTTTTCTGAGCTTCTGATGTGATTGAGGTTCTGGTTTGTATTCTGTTTAATTTTCATGCAGTTGCCTGTATACATACCTACAGAAGTTACTATATTATATCAAAACAGTCTGTTTGTGTGTCTTCTTGTGATTCTAAACTAAAAGAATGTTCTGTCTTATTTATCTATTATCTAGTTTCTAAAATAGTATTCAGTGTTCAATTTTAAATGTAGGTAGTAATGTATGTGATTAACTTTTTTCTCAGCCTACACGAGATGACCGTGGCTGGTTTGTGACACCGTTAGGTCCAAACCCATGGTGGACAATTATAGCTGCTATTATCCCAGCTTTGCTTTGTACAATTCTGATTTTCATGGACCAGCAGATCACAGCTGTCATCATCAACAGAAAAGAGCATAAGCTAAAGGTGTGTTTTAACATTGTTTATAATATAAATAATTCTCATTTAGCTGATAGGAATTGGTGGCCACAGATTTTTGGCTGTATTGAGTATTCATTTGTTCAGTATAAAATACTATTTCCAGGTTTGTAGTTTTTATTGTTTTCCAGGACACTTTGCGTTACAGCAGTATGAAAATTTTTGCAACAATTGACTAGCCTCCAGAGTCTGAAACCTTACTTTTAGGGGGGAAAACCAGTTCTGACTTAGCATGTAATTGATTTAATGAAATAATCAATTCTGATGAAGTACATTTTTATTTACCAACCTGCCTATGTCTAGGATTATTCTTCCCTTTATTTGACAGCAAGTATGTTCATTATTATAAAGGACCATGTCTTCAGGTATGTTTCACTGAATTGTATCATTTAAAAATAGTATTTGCTTGTAATGCCTAAAACAAAGGAAGACCTTGGCCATAAGTACAATAGACTGCAAGTGACATCTTTGAGCATTATTGTAAATTTCTAATAACTTTTTTAAACAAATAGATTTTATTTAATGTATTCTGGCCTGCTGTTTTGTAACTATAATAAAGGTTTGCATGATCACTCAATTTGTATGCAATATAAGTATTATCATGTATGTAAATGTTAAATCAATAAAATATTGAATGGTTAAATATAATCAGAACAAGTAAAGGAGTGGGGCAGAAGACAGTAAGAGCCAGAGGAACAGGAAGTCTGCCATGAGATAGGGAATCTACCTGTGAAATCTCAACAAGGTAGTTGAGTATACGTGTTGAGATGAAAGGGGGGAATCTCACCAGATCCACTATTAGACAAAGAAAGAGAGGGAGAATTAGTCTCTCCCATGGGCCCCCAATTGGTTATCCAGTACCAAATGATCATCAAGTTATATTTACATATTTATGCATTTGAGTATGAGTGAGTGTGTGTGTGTGTGTGTGTGTGTATGTGTGTGTGTGTGCATGCGTGTGTGTGTTATATATGTAACAATGATAAAAAGAGACCATGAATCCGAGAGGGAGGTGGGGGACATAGCAGATGCTGAAGAGGGTACATGGGAGAGTTTGGGACCAGGAAAAGAGGGAGGAATGAAGGGATTATATTTAAGTAAAATTTTTTAAAAATCAAACCTTGTAAAATAGGACCTGTACATCCTTATTCTGTTCTCCTTCCAGGCTAGTCAGTTTTGTGGACCACAGGCCCTTATTCTTGCTCCTTGTTCTTCATGCAGGTACATAAGTGCTTAACATTTACAACTCTTGCAAAGTTCCAAATAGATCCACCAGTGTCCTCCTTTGCACTGAGGACAGTATTGCTAGCATACAGTGAAACTTTCTTTAAGGGGTCCTTCAAAGTACTTGAATGCATAGAAGGGAATGAAGAACTAAATCTTTTAATATTTGTCCCTGAAGTAAACACAAGGCTATATTACATTATCTCTTTTGTTACACAAATAAATCAGTATAGATTTAACTTCTAAAATTTAAATTTTAAAGTCACCATGGAACAGACTAGACCCATCACATTGTGCTATACTCTACCAGTAGTCAGTCTGCCCTTGACCACTGCAGTCTGAGTACTCTGCACTCATGTTTGATACAGATATTTTCAAAGCAGGTTCTCTCCAGTCTAGTCATAATTTAACAACAGTAAAAGCTTATTTTCTACATGTATCCTTTTTCTCCTATTAAGTTCCACTATAATATAATCTACTGTTGCTGATATTCCTTCTAATTACAAAAATATAACCTTAGAACACTGCTTACTAAGAGTAAGAGTGTATTCCATAACTGTTCAACCTGCCTGTTGCTACACTGAAACTTTTTTCAAAGTTTTTGGCTTCAGCTTGAGCTTCATGTTCATGAAAAGACATTTCCCGAATGTAACCCCAAACCACAAGCTATCGAGATTTGATTATCTTTTTTTATTTGAAGGTGCTTTGTCGCTGTGGTTGCAACATTGTTTGGAATTGTTCTGTGAGGCACTTTGTGGTCTTCACAGTGTGTAACTGAGTGTACAATCATATCTTTGGGTCACCTCAGAATTCATGTCATTTTCTGTCTCTTTCAAATGTATTATAGACCCTTTTGACTTTTCCTCGCCTCATTGCCAGAACTACTCATTCTCTATTGCATGATATTTTTCATGACGACAAGAAAATGTTTTTATAACAATCTTTGGTAGTAAGTACACAATAAAGTGTTGAGCTACAGGTACTAAAACCCTGCTCATTGGGTAAGTAAGTTACTGTACCTGAGAATGAAGGAGCATAAAATTAGCAAACCTTAAAATCAATCCACTGGCTTCCTCTGTGTCATGCAAGCATGACACCAGCTACAAATATCAAAATATGGCCAGGAAAATTATCATGTATTACATTGATGCACAATTAAATCCATATTCTAGCATTGTTTTTCCTTTTAGAGTTGGGGGCATGGGTTAACTGAATCATTTTTAAAGGCATTAAAAACAAAAGCTTGGTTTTGTTTAGAGCATGCTCTGTAAAGTGAAAATAAAGAGAGACATTATTTTGTAGAAAAGAAAGTTTCTGTTAAGATACAGCTCTGGGATTTTCTACATGTTTCTGTAGACAGTTCAGGCTTCTTTTGACATCATTTTTAATAAACAGCAATACAATCCCAGATCACTAGAGTAAATGAATGCGTTTGCAACATTCATTTGGCACCACATTCCCTTGATGATTATGGCATTTGATATGTTCTTTTTTGCCCTCTTTGTCAGCCTGGTTCTTCATGTCAATCTATAGTCTTTTATGTGGTTAACTTGACAGATGCAGGAAATCGCTGCCAAGCTTTGAAATGATTTTTTTTCAGCGGTGGCATCTGGGTATCAGATGGTCCTCTTGGCTGGCCTCTTGTCTTGCTGCATGTTGGTTTTAGTGGGGTCTGGTGTAGCATCACCTGTTGCTATGCTCCCTTTCCCTCCCATATGTCCATTTCCCATGATTCAAGGATAAATGTGAGAATAAAAGCTACAGTTCTGTCTTTATTTTTGAAGAAAAAAATCAGTACAGAAATATGTTACAAGGTGCAGAGTTCTCTGTCTGACAAAGGGATACTTCCTTTTGGCTGGCATGCCTAATCAGCTAATAATTTGTTTGCAGTGAACAAGTTTTTAAAACATTTTTTAAAGAAGGCAAGTAGGATGCTGATTAATGAGTGGAAATGTCAGAACTGCTTTATTTCCATTAGGTGAAATTATTCTTATTGTACAGTATAATTAAGGGAAATCACGTATTCATTTTAAAGACAAAATTATTTTCTCTGACATAATTATCTTGACCATTTCCAGAAACACAAAATTCCACTGTTTATGTTTATATCATATTTTTAAAAACTAAGAAGAGCTATAGGAAATGATTGTTATGAGGAAGACTTTCTTCATATTAGTAAATTTAGTGAATGTGGATGCTTAGAAAGTCCAGAATCTACTAAAATAATAAAAAAAATTAAAAATCTTTCAGCTATTAATAGCTCTGTCATATCTTCTCCTTATTTATTTATTTTGTGGCCCCTGCACCTCTCATAGTACCTATTCACTTTTGTTAGGATCGCGACTCTAAAATATTCCAGCAGCACAATTTCATTGACTCTCCTCAGATGCAGCAATTTGTGAAGATTCTAATTCATATTCTAATTTGCAGTCCCTAGGACAAAACACACTTGTAACAGTTTCAAACATTGCTTTTCAAGGGCTTGAGTTTTATGCTATGAAACTATAGTTTATAAAATGTTTTGCCAAAGGCTTTTTCTTATGCTTATTTGGTTATGTTGACACCAGGGTGATTTCCCATTTTGTGGATCTCCGCTGATACTTTATCCTCTTTATCCAGCCAAATCTACTCTATTTATTCTACAATTACAATAATCATATTGAATTTTAAGATGTGTTTCAAGAATACATGCTTCCTTATGAAAGTCATTGCACTAAGGAGAAGGATTTCCCATGAGTTCAAGGCCAGGCTGGTCTATATAAAGTAATGAATTACAGGACACTTAAGCCATATAATAAGACACTGTATGAAAGAAAAAAAACAATATGTAACTTCTGTTGTTTGTGTTAATAATTATGCTAAGAAACTGGAAAATACTGAGAAATGATTTGATGCTATCTGTCCTTAATAAACTTAGTTTTATTGTAATAGAACCTATCATGCACTTGGTGTTTATGATACAGTGCACATTACTCTCAATGACTTCTAGAATTAGATCACAATTAATGAGATGCTTTTATTATTGTTATCAACTTCTCTCAGATAGGAAAGTCCTGAGATTTATTTTTATTGTATTTAATTTTTTATTGAAATAGTTTTTTCTCTCATATATTTGACCAGTTTTCCCTCCCTCCATGCTTCCCTGGCACCTCCCACATCTTCTCTCCCCTAGATCCTCGCCTCCTCTGTTTCTACTTCAGAAAAGAATAAGCCTCCAAGAGACAACATCCAAACTAGATAAAACAAGATACAATAAGAAAAGGCAAAAGCCCGTATATCAAAGCTGAACAAGGAAACCCAATGGGAGTAAAATAGTCCTAAGACCTGGCAAAAGAGTCAGAGACACACTTGATACGTCTGTTAGGAGTTCCACAAAAACACTAAGCTAGCAGCCACAGCATATACACTGAGAACCTGTGCTTGCCTTGCCATCACCTGACCCCAGCAATGCATTTCCAGAACTATATTACACGGGCTTTCATGAAGTAGTACTGAAAATAATAAAAATAAGAACTAGAACACAACATAAATCAAGACTTTTGCTACCTCTGGGGTTTTTACACTTTATATAGCTACAGAGGGACCAACAGTGCTGTTAGGTATCTTTTGAGTTCTCTCCTCGAGATCTAATCCAATCAGCTTGTCAAGAGAGCAGTCTCTGATCACCCGGGCACCAACTTTTCCTCACTTGGTTTCCTGCCTGCACTAAAGTGCAGCATCGCAGTAGTAGAGTAGAATTACAGAGGAGGCAGAAAACACCAAACACTGTTATTTCAAGGGATGACTGGATTATTGGACTGTTGAGAGGGGAACAGAATGAGAAATAAGGTCACAATGTACTGAGATATAACAGAATAAATGAGGTAGATTAGGCTCTATGATATTATTCTTTCCTGTAAAACATCACCCACTGAAATGGGAGAGGACTACTGGAACCAGTACTAAGGGGCTCAGTTCCAGGGCATCTGCTATGGAGGGACTCTCAGTATGAGCAGGAAGTGGTGTATATTCACAACCAAGTCATCGATAACTGTGTTCCTGACACAGTTCCTTCTTTTCCTTTGTTTCTCTAACAGAAAGGTTGTGGCTATCACCTGGATCTGTTAATGGTGGCCATCATGCTGGGGGTGTGCTCCATTATGGGCCTGCCATGGTTTGTGGCTGCCACAGTCCTCTCCATCACTCATGTCAATAGCCTGAAGCTGGAATCAGAATGTTCTGCCCCAGGAGAACAACCCAAATTCCTTGGCATCAGAGAACAGCGGGTGACTGGGCTCATGATTTTTATTCTTATGGGTTCATCGGTTTTTATGACCAGTATTCTGAAGGTAATGAAATTATCCCTAATGAAAGAATAAATATGTTTAAGGTAGCATTTTAATATGGACATAAAATTTCAAATATTACATGGCATGAGATAAAATGACTTTAAAAAAAATACATAATTCTCCTTCACCAAGAGTGAATGAAATTTTATCCTGTGCTTTAGAATCCTTAAGTAGTTGAAGGTATACTTTTGCTATACTTCCTGATGGTAACAATTTTGATTTGTAATTTTCAAGCTATGGGATAGGTCACACTTTCCAAGTAACAAGTGACTAAAGTCACTGTAGTCCAGCCCAGGTTAGTGGTTCTGTTATTTTGTCAGTCTATAGATTGAATGTTATTTGCTATAAGTCAGTGATGCAGACCAGACAATGGTCATGCCATGGGCACATAGACAGTTTTTTATTTCAAAGGCCTCATGTAAACACTACATGTAAATCCTCATTACATATAAGAAATTTTCACATTTTTTAAATTATCAAATTTTGAGTAGCAATAAAAGAGGGATAGTTTTGTGATATAAAGCTAATAGATATTATTACAGCATATTAGCTGCATTATAAATTATCTATTTTGATTGCTTAAATACCAAATATTAATTGAATTATTGAATTTTATAGCTTATTTAGCTAGTCATTGAAAAATTGTATTTCTGTTATATAAGTAATAGGATACTGGATAAAATGAGATAACCCAATAAAAGAAATTTAAACAGTCCACATGTTAACAAATATCTGCCATAATTAAGGACCAAATTGTAAAAGTAACATTCAAATATTTTACTATTTTAAGATAGAATGTAAATTGTCTTTAAAGTGGCTAATAGTCATGTTTGTTGTGGCACAATAATGATTTATTGTACTATTTCTTAGGAATCATAGTTTTCAGGATAGGTTTAACACTTATAGCTGCACTACTATTATTGTCTCTTTTAGACACTGAGAAACTAAGTGGCAGGCAGCTTCTGTAACCACTTAATGTTATGCAGATAGGAAATGGTGAAATGGAGTCTGAAACTATGTCTTCCAATTCCATACTATACTTGCTTCTAGAATATTTTTAATTTTCCATTTTCTCTCTCTGCAGTAAGTGCAAAATTGAATGACCACGTGTTAGAAAATAATGTTTCCTGTTTTCTGATTGTTCTTTTACAGTTTATCCCCATGCCAGTGTTATATGGAGTGTTTCTTTATATGGGTGCTTCATCTCTAAAAGGAATTCAGGTAAATTACTTTGCTCTTACAGGCATATCTGTTGTAACGTAGAGTATAGATTCTGAGTCATGGGACAGCAACCCTCATCTGAGGAGAGGCTTTCTGACCACATGTAAATTTTATGACCATGGCCAGAATTGTAAATACTAAAGAAGATTCTTTGCTATGTGGACACTCTCTCATATATGTGCTATACATCCAGTTCCAAAGGTGGATAAATTACTGTATGCATGTGTGTGTGTGTGTGCATGTGTGCATGCATGTATGCATGCATGCTTGTGTGTGTGTTTGAAGGAAAATGCATGCATGTGTGGAGGACAAAGAACAACTCTGGTGTTCACTGTCTAGGTTAGAGTATCTGGTCAGTGAACACAGACATGACTGTCTCTATTAAGTGACTCTAAAAGGATCTAACTTCAGCCTTCATGCTTGTATGGCAAGCACATTGCCAGTTAAGCTGCTATCTGTCATAAAAATATTAACAAAGATAAGTTTAGTTTTCATTACCCTTTTCGAAAATGAATTATTAAGTTCACTTCAAGATATATACAAATGATAGTTATGAAGCCATGTTTATGGACTCTGTTCACAACAATAGAAAAAATACCTTATGCAAAAGATTTATTTTGGCACATGGTTTCAGGAGATTTCAGGCCATCATAGCAGGGAAGTCATGGTAGTAGAGTTCTGTGTGCATCAGTGGGAACATGTGGCAGCCAACCAGAGAACAGAGAGTGTGGAACTTTGGGCTGGCTATTGCTTTCAAAGGCCTGGCCCCCAGGGACAGACTTTTGCTATCCCACACCACTTGCTAAAGGTTCCATAGTCTCCCAAAGCAGTGCCACCACTGGAGATCAAGTGTTCAGAACATAAGCCTGTGGGGAACACTTAAGACTCAAACCACATCTGAGCAGGACACAAAGACATGGGTATGTTGGCCATGGCAGGATGGAGGTTGAGATTGGAGTTTTTCTGCCATAATGTAAGAATATAGGAAACTGTTGAGACCTGCAAGAATTGCAAAGATGTTCTCTCCTTGGGATCACCGAGGGATCCATAGTCCTGCCAAAATCTTGATTTTGGACTTTTGACCAACCTCCACACATGGACAATACATTTTTATTGCATTAAACCAAAATGCTGTAGTACTTTGTTATGCCACCTTCAGAATGAATACAGACTTCTACTTAAATGCACATTTGAATTGTCTTTATTTATGGTGATGCTCTTTGGACAGAACACTTCATTTTCTTCATGAGAGACTACAGTGAGGTGTATTTATTGTATACATTTTAAAAAATTAAAAATAATATGAAGTGCAACTTTTTTTGCTATGGTGTGGCTACCTTAAGTGCTGATAAAAATATACAGAGGAATTAGATTCTGGCTGGGACCCAAGAAGCACAAGGTCTCTGTTCCTGAGGAAACTGACCTGCTGCCTTCTGACTCTGGGAGAGGCAGTGTACAGACCTTGGAACAGTGTAAGCTGTCAGACTGAGGCAAAACTTCAACACAAGGCCATTGTAAGACACTGAAATACACAAGTGTAGAGACCCTTTGCCTCAAGGAAGGGAGGGCATGATAGAGAACTGGTGTGTTTTAAAATTTTACTCAAAGGCTTAATTTGGTCATTTAAAGTATCATGTATGAAATGCATCTTAATAAAATTAGTTTAGTGTTTTCATTTGTTTTTGATTTTTTTGGCAAAAGTTTCAGTGAGTAGTGATTTTGTCTGTAAGTGGAAAGCATTTATTATTGGGCCTCAGGCTCACATAAATAGAGCAGCAGGAATTTAAAACACAAAGTGAAATAATTGTGGGTAGATCCAGACAGATTTTCTTCTAATTTCATTCAAATTACTGTTTTTTTTTTAACTCATGTGGTTTAGAATTAAACAAAAGTGTCAAGTTTTAGAATTCTTGAGATATAATCCTTTCAAATAAAATAAAGAATAACATCAAGGTCCTCGAGTCAAATTTAATGAGTTTTAAATACATTAATGAAATAGAAAGCCTAGGCACACTTTGACAGGTCTCACCCTGCGAAACAGAATTGGTGGAAATTTAAGTGAACAGCTAAAATTCCTATTGGGAATTGAAGCTAATTGGATGGGGAAATATTACATGTTGCTACTGGGACATGATGAAAGCCAAATGCAAAATTTAGAATATATTTATCATGATTGTTATTCCTGGAGTGGTACTAGGCCAGCACATTAGCTGTCTGTGTTGGATATCCTAAGGAGCATGCTACTTTGTTACCAAGCAAATTGGAGGACTCTTTATGTCACCTGGCTTTTTGGCACTATTAAGGAACTTACTATGTAGGCTTCTTACTGTGAAATATGGCAGAAAAAACAGATCACAGTGTTCTCATGAATGCTGTTTCTGTATTCAAATATATAACCACATCTATATTCATTCCAACATTGCAGGGATCCAAAGTGAAGCAAATGTACCACTTAAACAATAACAATTGAAGCACCCACTCACTGAAGCACACTTATGCAACAACATAGCTCTGTAAATGGATAATGATGGGTGGGGGAAATTCTATGCGAGCATACATTCAGTTGTAAGCTAAAGGATTTTATTCTCTATTCTTTATTCTTACTTCCACCAGGCACAAAATTATATCTCTTTAGTGATTCCTAATTTTAAGAGATAGTTATGAAGTAGAAACACGCACACACACACACACACACACACACACACACACACACACACACACACATACACACGAGATAAGCCAAGAATGCAGTTAGCTGTCAGTTTTTCTATGGGTTTCAGCAAATAAGTTTGGAAGATTATGAATGAATATTATTGGATGAAGTAATGTGCATTTGATTCTACATAACTGAAGAATGGTTGTGCCACACAGAAGACCGAGAATACCAGAGGGAAGAGAGATTTGTGTTAAGCTTGATACCCTATCATACCTATCCCATATCTAATTGGGTTTTGACAAAACAGGGTGATCTAACCCTAACTCTGCAGACAGTTGTTTATATGCATAGTGAAGTTTGAGATATTTGATAAGCAGCTGATAGTTTTCTTCTTTTGGTAGCTGAGAAATACTTTATCTATTGATATTCTTTTGAAAATGCATTGGTTATATGATCATAAAAACTTATGAAATAGAATGGCTGTTGGTTTCAAAACCCATCTCTCACTGAAAGAATTATAAATAACAAAATTTGGCCTAGAGGTTAAACAAGTGGCTCACACAAAATAAAACTAATATGTAGTAAATTTAGTTATTCAATAAAATGTGTAGAAGTAAGAGTGCATGAAAATGTAGTTTATAAAATAAACTAAGTTATTTTATCTATCATTATGACAAAATTAAAGAGATAATCCACTGTTTACACTGGATCCATCTATTAAAGTGACCCAAATAAGGTAGTTTGCATTTCTGTGTGTATCTGCATTGATGTGCATTATATGTATGCATACATGAAGGTATGGGTGCAGTTGTGTGTATCTGCATGTGCACAGGCTTATATGTATATGTGGGTGTTCATGTGGGGGCCCTAAGTCAACACCGGGTGTCTTCCTCAGTCTCTTGCTGCTTGTTTTCTGAGACAAGGTCTCTCAGTGAAGCTGGAGCTCACAGATTTGCCATACTTGCTGGCCAGTGAGTTCCAGGGACTGATCAGTCTGTCTCAGGCCCCACCAGAGCCAGGGTTACAGATAGGTTAAACTGTGATCATCTTGTATGTGCATGCTGGAGATCTGAAATCAGATCCTCAGGCAGGCACTAAAAGCTCTTTGCTGGCTAAACCAGCTGTCCATTCCCCAAGTATAAAATATAAAAAAACGCTTTGGTAACAAAAGTACATGTGGGCCAGATCTTCATGTAAGATATTTATGCTTCCAAAGACAGCATCAAAACCTTTGTTGGGGATCAAAGTGGCAAAGCCAAAACAGCAGGGTTCAGTAAAGAGAAAACCAAGGTACTCTGGAATTTGTGTGGTGCTTGGAGGAAGCTGAGGCAGGTCTGGGAGCTCTTAACATGTGAAAGCCAAAGCCCTGAGGGTAGATGGTGCACTCTGGGAGAGGAAAAAGTACAGCAAGCTTGGGACGCCTAGAAGTCCCAATATTTGAGGGGGTGGGGAGGGAGAGATCATGATGTGATAAGCTGAAAAGGGATTATTTTATTTTGTATGCCTTAGTGCAGGTTCTCAAGGTAGCAAAATGTAGCATTGGCTTTACCCATATGCAAACCCATTTAAATGACACCCTGTTACAATATTATAGGAAATAGAGTATACTGTCCAATAAATAGAAGTCCAAACTGTATGTCAATTCCCATGTCCTGCAGTTTTCACAGCTGTGTCATTTGAGCCTAATATGAACATGCCAAATATCTAATTGTCCTAAATGTAATATAGTCTGTTTAATCTTTTAGTTATTTGATAGGATAAAGCTCTTCTGGATGCCAGCCAAACATCAACCAGATTTTATATATCTAAGGCATGTACCACTCCGGAAAGTCCATCTCTTCACAGTTATTCAGATGAGTTGCCTTGGCCTTTTGTGGATAATCAAAGTTTCAAGAGCAGCTATTGTCTTCCCTATGATGGTATGAAACCTCTTTCAATGCTTTCACTCGTTTTTGGGAAACACATGAACTAAAACAGTAACAATAGAGTAGCCTTGAATCACTTTGAACAGTGACTGCAGTGTAAAATTGGGCACTAAAATAGGGTTTGAAAAATATTTTGCATTTTGCTTATTTAATGTTAGGTTTTTTTTCTTGGTCATTCATAGTGTGCTGGCTAATAGAAAGCAGTATGGGAAATGTAAATTTTTAAAAATTAGCATTGAGATATACTAAAAAATATGAAAAATTAGGGGAATTTCTTAAAATAAAACTTAATTGAATGTCTCAGACAAAATTTAAATGTATTTAAAAGTATAGTGAATTTGAATGACTATATATAACTCAAATATTATTAGCATACATAAAAATCTTCTAATATTCACGTATCCTAGTTTGAGCTTTTAATTATGCATTTAGGGAAGCATAATCAAATATATTTTGTAGTTTAATATTTCTTTAAGAAGCCTTCAACATTGAATAAAATCTTAGATTCCATCCTGTCAATTTGATGAGAAAAGGAAATGAAAAAAAATGAAAGATGAGGCCACATGTTTTATACCCGTGTTTTCAATCTTTAGTTTAATATCAGTCCTAACACAGACTCACCTTTATCTTCACTTTGTTTGTTTGTTTGTTTGTTTACATTTTAAGCTACTTTATTTTCTTCAGGTGTTAGCCCTGGTATTTGTGAGAAAGTTGATGGACTTCTTGTTTACCAAACGGGAACTCAGCTGGCTTGATGATTTAATGCCTGAGAGTAAGAAAAAGAAACTTGAAGATGCTGAAAAAGAAGTAAGTCAAAATAAAACTTGGTATTTCATTTAGGAGAGAAAAACAGTTGTAGCTCTTTCCTAAACTCAATTGATGTTTTTCATTAAATGGTGGTTACTAAATACAACAGTAGAAAGATTTGAAAGTTTAATGGTTAAAAATATGGCTGAGGCAGAGATCTTACATGAGTAAGTCAACTCTACATGAAATACATTTAGTTATTCTCCAAATTATAAGGCTTATTTTTCTGATTTCTTGTTCATAAATGGGAAAAAATCGCTGAAGCATAACTGTTTCTGAGATATAGTCATGTAATATTGATTGAATGTTTGAAAGGGAAATAATGTGATACAACACTGTTGGTAATTTTTCTTGCTAACAGATTTTAATCAGTATATTTGGATAAAATTGTTATTCTTACAAAAGACAAAATATTTGAGAAGAAAATTATGACCTGATTTGCTTCAAAAGTGACCCGAGCTTTAAAATGTATTTAGAAAACTTTGGGTTTTAGTTATCACAGATGACTTATTTATCATATTCTGTTTCATAAGAAGAAGCAAGTTAGATATAAGTTTCATGAGATACATAAAGTCCCTATGTCAGCTTGGATCTTTTATGAAGGTTATTTAATTATACCATTTTTAAAGCACATAAAAACTATAAGGAATGTAAGTGAAAATAATGACCCATGCAACATTTTTGGCAAAGATTACAAAACACAAAACCAAAATTTCCATGTATAAATGAAATAGAATGGAAACATCTTAGAAAGAATTATTCATTCTTTCCGGTTTTGTTTTCACAGGTGCTTACTAAAAGTACTCAGTTTCTTTTCTATAGAATAGTTTTCTTCTTCCTTATAGGTAACTTTATTGTAAACATGAAAACAGGTTTTAATTTTACTCAGTCATTTAAATAGGCCAGATTGAACTACAAATCCTGTTGAAGTTTTGGCCAAGGACATTCTACCAGCATAGCTTTATAACATGTGATTGGTGGTTCTTGCCTCCATGGTATTCACATTTAGAGACATCACGGTGGTGTATCTTATTTCTGTATGAATGTTTCAGTTTTCCAAAATGCTGTAGAAGGCATATATAGAATCATATTTCTAGTAATGTTAATGCAACATTAAAATACTGTGAAACTATCACTGGTTCTTTGCTTTTCTGATTACTATATTTATCTACGTAGTAGATATATTTTAAAAATAATAATTTAATAGCCCACACATGATGTACTAAAACTTATCCCACCTAAAAAAATTTTTCAAGGTTTAAAGTTTGAAGGGAAGTAATTTTGAAGACAAAATTTATTGCCTATGAATTTTCCCCATCTTCCGAATGATTATACTACTAAGCTCATTCATCTAGTATAGTTTTTAACTCTTTTATATTATATCACATTATACATTACTGTGCTCTGATGGTGTTTACTGATTTGTAAATTTGGAAGTAAAGATTTTAAGAGTAACTAGATACCACCAAATTTCCTAGAACTTATACTTTCAGCAAGTATTTAAAAATAGAATAAGACCTACTGGGGGAATTTTATAGTTGAATCCTTCAGTTCCAAATATGAGGGGGAAATAAAACCTTGCAATATATTTACCAGAAGGGTTTAGAAATCCTTAAAGTCTCATGTAGATTATGACAATGATACTTTCATATGATCCCAACTGCATGGAAATAAGTAAGAAACCCAATGTTTCATTCAAGGAACAGCCTACACACAAACATTAAAAAGCAGTACTGAAAAGAAGACATGCACCAAAGGAGTGGAGATATGGGGGAAAGGGCGTGTGAAGAAGCTTATATTCTCTTTAGAATTAGCATTGGGAAAGGAGACTTGGTGAGGTGTGGAGGAGGACATGCGGAGGATGACACTGAAGTTTAAATCCAAGGTTCATTTTCTACTTGAGGGCCCAGATTTGGGTATTTCCTTTTTTCTGAACCTATGAATTCCCCTGAAAGACACGACTGTACGGTAGTGTCTTGTAGCAATGCCCAGTGCTCCAAGAGATTATACATTAGAGTGGGCAATGGATAAGTTCTTCAAAAATGTTCAGATTAATTGAGGAACTCTGATTGTGATCTGGCAAGATGATAAATGGCGGAAATGTCTCAGTTCCCTGAGACTTGAATTTAAAGTGAGCTCACCTCTGATCCTTTTGATGATAGTTACAAGCTTGTACCTTTATCCTTCAGGGTTTTCCTATCAGTAGCCCAATTCTGGTCTTATGGCACTGAGAAAACATTCATTTGACCTTAAAATTCAATAATGAGTTAAGCAGAATAAATAGCTACACAGGCCAGTCCAAGGTCGCAGAGCTTCTGTTCCAAATTTTCATGTACTTCATGCATATGCATACGCATATGCTTCAGTTTTTAGAAAGAAAGGATTATAATCAGGGTAGAAATGAATATTGGAACCCTGACATTTTGCACATTGCTCTGTGTAAAGGGAAGACTGCAGAATCAATTCTGGATGTCCAAATGTGCTCAGAGTACCAACATGCATTCCTTCCTACTTAAATGTTCTCTAGGACATTGTACACATGACAAAAGGACCACTGCTAAATGCAGGAGATTCCAGCAGAAAGTTTGCTCTCAGGGTGAAAGCATGGGTGCCCGTGGTTAGGTAGAGGTGGAGATGCAATTCTGTGGAGTGTTCATATCCACACCTTCTTCATTGCTGAGGGAGCGCTCTAACAAATACCCTGTAGAAGAAAACAAAATGACGGCAAGCAGGGCCTTGTGATCATGAAAAAAATTCCAAGAAAGTACGATCTAAAAATAAGCACAATTAAACAAATGAAAGCAAATGCTTTACTTCTCAGAAAGGTAAGAATTGGCTGTGGGTTTAGGAAGCGCATCCTAATTACTAACATAGATAAATGTCTTTTATAATTCAACTGTATGGTGGAACAAGTATGTTCTATCTCCTTCAGCAGCACTTTTCCAAAATGTGGTTCCAAGGTCTCTGTTACACTAGCCAGAACCTTGCAATATTTTTAGAATGCAAACTCATAGGCCTATTTCATCAATGCTGTGTGTGTTAGAGCTGGCAAGCTATTTTCCTAAGACCTCCAGGTGATTTTGACATCTGAGACAAGCCTTTATTAGACACAGAATCAGTCTCTATAATACAGCAAAGTTCTTAATACAAGATTACTGTGTCAGGATTTTTGTTCTTAGAGTAGTAATTTAGGCAGTTACTTGAAGGTGCTGATCAGGATCAGTGAGATGGATTGCTCAGTAGTAAAGGCACTGGCCTTCCAACCAAATTGATTCCTGGAACACACATAGAGAAGGAGAAAGCAAACTCCTGCAAGTTGTCTTCTGATGGCCACATGTGCTCATCCCACATATAAATGCATGCATGTGCATGCGCACGCACACACACACACACACACACACACACACACACACACACAATTTAAAACGTTTGAGTCATAAATTCTGATGCCTCTAAGGACTTACCAGAATTCTATAAGCCCTGTTCCAATTTTACCTTTTAAGCTTTTATTGTTTTGTGTTATCAATTCTTTAATCTGTTGGAAATAAGAAAAAATACTTCTTAAAAGTAAAATATTGTTTTCAAATTCACACACATGCAGTATCTGAAGGTGATTGTATTAGTTGAGAGAAGGAAATGGGAGGAACTTTTTAAGTTCTGTATGCCTTATTTGCCTCTCAAATAAAGTGTTGAACAAGACTCCTGTATCTCCTCCCATTCCTTAGGAAACATAAATTGCAAAATCACGTTATTTACCCCCCTTAATAACTTAAGTATCTTTGTGAATTCTGACTCTTTGCTACTGTTTAAACTTTGAGATCTTTAAGGGCTTCCACATAGATACAGACTTTGTCCCAAATAGATATATAATTTAAGTCATCTATTTTACTGAAGGTAAAGGACAAAGTACATGTCAAGCACTATAATATAGCAATTATTTTTCTACTATTACAAAATAAAGTTCAGACTAAAGATGTAATAGCGTTCAGTTTATTACTAGAAACTTACATATTATATTTCCCATTTCAATTCACCAGGGGCCTTTGGCTTTTGTGAAGCTAGTATTTCGCTGTCATGGAAACAACATACATAGTCCTATCCTTTATGTATGTCTCACATCATTTCTTCCTACCTGAAGTTTCTTCTCTTCGCTCTCTATTCCTGTATTCTTTGTAATAATCTTTTATTTCCTTTGAGACTCATGTTTACATCTTTTAGTTTTGTATCTCAGTGTTTTACAGCTACCTGTTATACAGATCATGTAAATATACATTCATTAAATGAGCTGATTAGTAGTGTCCCTATTATACTTCTTCAACATGTGCCTAAAACATAATGCATCTTTGGTCACTGTGTGCTATTGAGTAGATTCCTTTCCTATGTGTTACCTTTCTGTGCATTATTAGATAACGAAATTACTTGTTTTCCCCTTATTTTGTATCTGAAAAACTGTTTTGATAAGCATCTTAATTAGAAGATAGTCTTTAAATCATAGCTTAAGGAATTCTAAAATCTTGCTGGAAAAAACCCTTGCTTTAGCTATCCCTTTAACACAAAACGTTGCAGTTGTGTTCCATGACATAACTCGGGGAATCATTGACGGATCCTGTGTGAACGAAGTGCTGAATGGAAACCACGTTAAGCACTTCTGCAGTAGTTTTCTGGCCAGTTTTTCTCAGCTCTCTCTCTTCTTGACTGATGAGATACCTGGGCTGTGAAAATCAAGGTAAACTGCCTGATTTGACAGCTCCTCTTTGGGACAGTCTCCATTTTTGCCTCCCCAGCAATGCTACTTAGGATGCATCTGTCCCTCCATTACCACTCCCAGGCCCACCCAGCTCCCTTCTGGCACTGAAGACAGCAGCAGCGGCTGTTCTGCCCCCCTTCACTTCAGATAAGCATGGCTTAGAAATGCTATCTTTAGAGGTGATGAGTTTTTGTTTGGATAGGATGATGACTAGTATAAAGCCCACACACACTAAGGAGCCTCAGCATGCAAAATAATTATTGAATGCAATTTGAGAGAAAAGTGGGAAATCAACAGGGGAAAAAAAACAATGTTTACAAAGCCTTAGTCCAGTCTTTGCTGCTGATGGGTCTGCATTTTTACTGCCAGGTGACACAGGCACTGGTCACATTCCTCTTCTCTTCAGCTTGTTTTGCATTTTAGTCTTTAGTAAATCTTTCTGGTTTGGCCAGAAGAGATGCTGTACGTCATCTTCTCATGACCAACAAGGGCAGATTTATATTTGTTTACATCCTGGTTTGTCCTACGGGATCACTGAAGGTCTCTTTATGTCCCTTCATGGGCAGCAATATAAAATGTATGAAAAGTAACATTTTTTTTTCTACCAGAATGGATAGATGTATTCTGACTCTGTGGTGTGCGTATGTTAATATACTATGTTATATCCCATAGATCTTGACAAACTAAGTTGCAAGGAAGACCTCATTCTGGACTGCAGATTAGTTCTCCTTATATTTAAATGAGTACTTTTAATTAATAGTCTTCTTGTTGTAAATTGAGTATAAGTTGTTTCCCACCAAGCTCCATTTCACGTTGCTGTCTGCTTCCTGTCTACTGACGGAGAGTGCCCAGCTGCCTCACACTCCTGCCACCATGCCTTCCCTGTCATAATGGACTGTTGCCCTGGTTAAAAGTCAAAATAGCCCTTCCCATCCTTAACTGGTATTTGTTCGCAATATGAGAAAAGTAACACAGAAATTTGTTGTGCCGAAATAAGGCTGTCAGCGTGACAAGCTTGACCATTCAGCTCATGGTCTTTGGAACAGGTTTGTAGGAGGAATGTGGAAGACTTTATTATGGCAAAGAAATTGGTTGTATTTAGTCTGCCCATGTCCTGAGAATTTCAGAGTACATAAATTTGAAAATAATAGAATAAATTGTTTGGGAGAAAATGTCAAAATGCCCAGGAATACTGTGTTATGGTTATTACTTATTGCTCTTATCCAGGTCTTTAGCAGAGAGCAATGTATAAACAGAAACGTATAAAAAATTGTTCAGTTTGTGGGGAACACTGTAAGCTTAAAGTTATATGCAAGTTATATATAAGCTTATAGTTATATGATAAGGCAAGTATAATCATTAGAAATTAGTACAGAGACGAGAGAAAAGATGATGTGAAGGTGATACTCCACCAACTGTGGGCTCCATCTTGTGAAAATGGAAATTCAATTTTTAAGTCTAAGAATACTGCTGAAAGCAGTGCCTCTTCGGAAACAACTGTCTATGTGTTTTTATAGGGTCAGAATACAAAACCTGATACAGCTGTCTTTGAGGAGGGCAAGGCTTCATCTTGAGCTGTTGAAGGACTTGGCATCACTAAGTGGTAGTAGATGTATAGGCATGAAATATGCAAGAATAATAGAATCAATGAAAAATGTGCCAAGATTTCTGAAGGCCACTGAGACTAGGAAATGTATCAGAGGGTCTGAATCCCAGCAAGAAGGCCCCCGAGAAGGGAATATATGAGACTAGGAAGTTGGAAGACTAGGATACAAAGAACACCTCAAGTGGGAGATACCAGAAACACAGGGTTTCTACACAGCAAAGTCTGCAGCAGGGAGCAGAGCTGGCAAATGGAGGCTATGTGTGCTATTGGTAATAAAGCAGGAGAGATGGGGCTACCTAAGCCATTTGGACCACAGATGATTCCATCATATGTTCCAGACATTAGACATGAAACTTTAGGGTTTGGGTTTTTGTCTTGCTTTTGTATGATCTTTCCTTTATATATCCCCACTCTTCCAGTTAGAAATGGGGATGGCAACTCTATACCATCTTATGTTGAAGACATTTAACTTGCGTTTTGATTGTACAGGGGTTCACAGTTAAGATATTTTCTTGAGTCTCAAAGATGACCATGGACCTATGGGAGAATGGAACAGAATGGTCAGTTTGACTGTAAAATTTCCTCTGTAAACTTGTGTGCTTGAATACTTAGTTTCCAGCCAGTGACATTTTTTAGAGTGTTGTGGCACCTGAATGGGCAGAACTTCACTAGAGGAAATGGGTCCCTTAGAGGGTCTTCAGGTTTTATGTTTACAGCTGGGCTTCACTTCTGGTTTGCTGTCTGCTTCCTGAGTACTTATACCAGGTTCCCGACACCTTCTCTCCCCTAAGTGTTAAACCATAAGCCTAAATAATCCCTCTTAAGGTGACTCTTAACAGATACTTGGTCACAGAAATAGGAACAGTAACTTGTACTCTGCTTTCTCTTTAGTCATACAGCACTGCCAATGACAAGGTCATAAATGGGTTTTGAAAAAAAAAAAACAAACAAATTCATTACAAAATGGCACAAGAAAGTGAACAGTATTATTTCCTTGGATACAAGAAGATATATAATTAGTCCCACGGAGTATAATACACAATGAGGTATCTGAGGGGAACATATAAGCAAAGTTAGTATCAGAGCTCATGTAGTCCCCTTACCGTTATTCCACAGCATAGACTGAACCTGGAACTTCTGGAGGCATCAGGGTTGAAATCTCCTCAGAGGGGCCTGCCTTGGTTAGCAGGATAGGAAAGTGCTGCAAGAGTTAGCTGAGACCTGCCTTCTTGTTTCATTACATGGTTGTAAGTTAGCCAGCTGAAGAAGCATCCGAGAACACTTCAATTCTTGAAATAATAATAAATATGGATTGAACATTTTGACTGTGGGAATGATGGCAGTCACCAAGGCCACATGTCTTTAGCAACTAGTTTTGGTCAATTGTACTAAACTGAACTTAGGAAGTTAGTTTAAGCTAGTCTACATTTAACCTTAGCTGTGCTAAGCTAAGGAAAGGGAGTAAAAGATGACCTCCACCACTGTTCCAGTTTACTTCCAACATTTCCCAGTTAAGCAGGATCACCTGCTTCCTTCTGCCTAAACATCCTAGAAATCTATTTCAGGAGTCAGAGCCAACCATTCTAGCATTTTAAAATGATCCTAAGTAGTTAATTGAACTAGGCCAAGGCCAGCTGACCCATTTGAAAATGAATGCCTTAAATAAGGGTGTATGTGTGTGTGTGCATGCGCACATACACACACACACACACACTCACACACACACAAAATGTACATATGATATAAACATATGTAGTACATGCAAAAATTTAATGAGAATGTCATTGAAAAATAAGGACATTTCTATACGATATCCTTAAGCTTAGCATCATAAATGAAGGAAATGTATACATAAATATATTGTTTTTACCCTTTAGAGAAGGATGAAATACTGATATTGTAAGAAGAAATCTGAATCATGGAACAGAAACTTAATATGCATCTAAGTGAAATATGTGGGTTTTTTTGTTTTGTTTTGTTTTGTTTTTGTTTGTTTGTTTTGTTTTTCTTCATCTTGACAAATCACAAAACTCTCCACATGTTTTGTGGATATGTATGTATGTTCATGCAGGTATAGCTGACCAATATCAGGTGTCTTTCTCTATTACTTTCTACTGTAATTTTTGAGAGCAGGGCTCTCTTGGAACCTGGAGTTCATCTATTGGCTAGGCTAGCTGGAAAAAGAACTCTAGGCACTTGCCTGTCTCCACCCCTCAGCACTGGGGTTCCAGTGTTTGCTCCCTGGCTTGTAAATGATTTCTGGGAATCTAAAAGCAGGTTCATGTCTAATAGGTACTTTGCCAACTGAACCATCTCCTCCAGCCCTAAATCCATGTTTTGATGCATATAAGATGTCATCCGTCTTTTTCCAAGTCTCTCAAGCAATTCTCAAAATGTGGTCTCAGACCAGTATGGTCAACATCACCTAGAATTTGTTAGAAATGTAAATGTGTGCCCTCTCTATCCCAGACCCACAGAATCAGAACCTCTAGAGGTAGGACCCACAAAATGTTGAGCATTGCCTACAGATGACTCTAAAGTAGGGTTCGTGGATCAGTGCTCTGAATACGCAGCCCTCCTTCCTCCTTCCTAGTATAACATTTGGGGAATGTCAATTCAATTTATAAAAAAACAAACTCTCATAACATTACCCATACTTTTTTTGTTCTTGTAAAATTTAGGTTATTTCTTAATGTGCTTGGAAATTAACCATGTTTCTCATTGAATGACATGAGGGAGATTGTTGTTAGCATTTAAATTACTTTGTGTTATGAGATTTTCATTAATTACTTGTGTTCTTAGTAGCTGAGGCTTTATGAAAGGACCTGTGCTAGCATTAATAAATGCAAACAAAGTGGAAGGTCCTGAGGTTAATGAGGTAATAAAACATTAATCTGTTTCTCCTTTAATGTAAAAACGAGACACATTAGGTTCACTTTATATACGGTACATTTGTCTTTCCAGGAAGAACAAAGTATGCTAGCCATGGAAGATGAGGGCACAGTACAGCTCCCACTGGAGGGACACTACAGGTAAAAGTATGTTTAAAGCACATCAGTAAGAGCCATAGAATGTGCTCGTTAAACTCTCCATACTGTGGGAAAGTTAATGATGTTATGTTAAAACGTCCAAAAACAATTCAAGACCAAGACATAAATTACAGGTTGCAGTAAGTTCTGCAAGCACTTGTGTGTAGCAAAATAACATAAAATGAAGTTTTATAAGGTATATGAAAGATCACTTTCCTATTCCCAGAAATTATCAACTGAAGACACTCCCCATTCGCTTCTAGCATAAATGGGATCAGTATCTGTAAGATGATTTTGGGAAAATATTTTTATTCTGAGAATTTGCTCCTAACCAAAAAAATAACTAACTTTTGAGTTAAAGGAGTCAATCATGTCGGTCATTTAAGAAAACATTCATGTAGTTCGGCAAAATACACTGATCTTTTTACACACAAAGACAGTAAAATGAACTTCTGTTAGTTACAATGAAAATTTTTACAAACGTTTGTCCCCTCCCTCCTTCCTTCCCTTCTTTTCCTGCTCTCTCCTTCTCTCTCCACCACTCTATATCTCCTTTCCTCTTTCTAATTTTTAGTTTGAATAGTTTCCTCATAAAGTCTGCTGTAAGTACTATTTAGTACCCAAATGTATGGTTTCAGAGTTCTTAGGCCGTGCCACTAAATAAATAAACATGAAAGTTTTTAGGGGGAGAGATTTGCCATGTTACTTAAAAGACAAAATGGGAAAGGATCTGTTGGGCCTCAGAGTCTGACTCTAACACCATATTCTCCCCACAAGTGTCAGTGTCATTACCTGCAACTTAAAAGCAAACACAGTTGATGGAAGTACTTTAGCTCTTTTTTTCCCCCCTCTCATTTAAAATACTCTTGGTTGAGTGAATCAGTATATTCTGACGTGTACTTTGCGGAAATTAGCTTTACGACATGCCATTCCAAAAGGTTTTGTAGTTAAGTAAGTTCAAGAAACAGTTCAAACTGCATGCTACTTTATAAATTCATAAATTAAATCTGCATATGAAATAATAAAAATAGCACTGCCCCTTTAAAGTTTAATTTTGCTTGATTCAAAATTTTCCAAACCTTTTTGTTTATAAGAATGTCTCATAATATCATGATAGCCTTGTTTTTCATTTAATGCTTTTTGGGAAATTAGTTAATCTATTCTGAGTTTCTAGGAAGTTCTATTTTCTAGAAAGCTAGAGGAACTAAAGACACATTTTCAGACTTAGTAAGGCTGAATCCTAGTGTTGCATTTACCCCAAATGGTGGGTTTGTTGTCCTCTTGTAAACAGCTACCAATATAGTTGACATGAGGCCAGCAGAGGAGTTTGGTTAATGTGATTTTTTTCCCACAGTAAAAAATGTTAACCTATATGTACAAAAAATAGTGCTTTGTATTACAAAGTTTTCACTTGATCTGTGATTACTTTAGGCAGCCACTTGATTATGTTTCTAGCTCTTGAGAGGTTTTGAAGCTTCATGAACGTTTTCTAAAATTGTTGTACATTTACAATATAAAAACAGAACAAAACTAAACAAATTAGCCAAGTACCAGCATAGAACCTAATACTGAGGTCCCCCAGATATGTGTGAAATACTCTGTCAAAAGCACAGGCCAAATTCATTTTCAGATACACAATTATTGAGAAAGTGCCATGTGTCCTGCTTTGGCTGACTTTTGTGGGGGGGGGGGGGGAGATTGCGGTTAACCAGTGATCTAGAATACTGTTGTCATTGTATTCAAGTAAAACAGAGGGTCAGGACATAGTATATAAATACGAATAGCTAGTACAGTGTTGTAGATGGCAAAAAAAAAAAAAAAAAAAAAAAAAAAAAAAAGAAGGATAGGAAACCAAAGGAAAGAAAAGAGATGGGAGGCTTAAAGGGGGAGCAGCAATTTCAAACAGTGGCAGCATGGGCCTCCTGAGCAGTTGAAATTAGAACATCTGAGGTCAGGGATGAATTAAGAAAACTGTTGCCAAAATCTGTGTAGCTAGACTATTTCCATTAGATTTTTCAGATACCTTTTAATAACCGAGGGAATTGCTTTATGCTTCTCAATTTCAATTATTAAAAATATGTTACTAAATAAATAAAATGAAATGTTATTGAACCTTAAAAGGAGAGAAATGTAGGCATATGCTAGGACATCTTAAACTAAGGACATTTTTTTCAAATGAAATAAGGCAGTGACACACACAAAAAAAAACATTGTATGATCCATCTTACATGAAGCACTTAACATAGCCAAAACAATAGAAGCAAAACATGAGGTGGTACTCACCAAGACTGGAAGGGGAAGAGGCAGAAGACAGCTACTGTTTAATGTAAAACTTCACTTTTAAAAACAATGAAAAGAAATCTGGAGACAGATGTAGTAGTAGGCTACTTTCATAACTTTTAATTGTACATCTTAAAATGCTTAAGATTTGAACTCTATGTTGTATGTACTCTACTATGAAAACTTTAAGGAAAATGTTTCACATAGTTATGAAATTATCATATATTCATCTTCTCTACCTGAATGCTTCATGACTTGTTTGTTGTATATTATTTCATTTTGGGTAAACTCCTGTCTAGAGATGACCCATCGGTGATCAATATTTCTGATGAAATGTCAAAGACTACCATGTGGGGGAACCTTCTGGTTACTGCTGACAACGCAAAAGATAAGGAGTCACGCTTTCCTTCCAAAAGGTTTGAATTTTGAAATAATAAGGTTATATTAATGCTAATGATTTTGTGGTATAGATTCACTAGGAAAAGTTACTATTGGTTTTAATCAAATTTAGACTTCAGAAATTTTTTTCAAAAGGAAGAGTGACAATTTTTTACAAACATTGTGTTTTTCAGTATCTACCTTTCAAAATAAAAATAAAAAACTCCAAATCTACCACAGTGGGGGGGAAATGGAACCATTAATGACCCCAGTGCATGACAATTTTGAACCTTCATTTTGACCTTTTTGTTGTGTGGTTTCATTGTATTTTTTCATCACACAGTTTCCAGGACCAATGTAGGTGCTGGACCACATTCCCTACTCCCTGTTTCCTTTTGCGACAGTGATTTGGCATATGTAATGGTCATTCTACATTTAGTTGATTTCTAGTTCCCTATTTTCAAGTGACAAACTTCCCTAACCTTACCCTGACCACCAATCCATTCTCATCGTCTGTAGACATGTGAGCTGTGTTGGTGACTTCAAGTGCATGCTGAGGAAGAACATGTCTTTAAGCAATAAGGGAATCCTGCTGTTTTCCACTGCATTTTGCAGTATTTGTAAATAAGTGAGGATCTTAGCATGCGGTCATCTTAGATGCTAATCAGAAGGAAACCCTGTTATGCTAGTTTTGCTTCTCATAAGAAAGTGGTTGATATTTGGGGATGGTGTAATAATGATTTAATTTATTTATTTTTATATCCTTACATTAACTTTTTCTACTTAATTTTTATATTACATTTTTTTTTGTCATAAGCTCCCCTTCTTAATCACTCTAGAAGCTGATTCCCCAAAGGTAAGACCTTTTCCCTCAAACCTATTCCCTAGTTGCATTTCCTTATGTTAAATGGTGTCTTCTGGAAAGCTGGTCAGCCTATGTCATCTGTGTGAGTTTTGGGGAGGCAAAAGGCTTAGAGAGTCTTGGACTCCAATCTAACAGAAGACTCTTTTTTATGATGTTTATATTTACTCAGTTCTTTAAGGGGCTCTGAAATACGAGGAAACATTTTTCCCCTTAAAGTATACAAATGCATCACATATAAAACAACAGAGCTTACAGAACTATACTTAGCAAGTAATGGCATAAATTTTTAGATTTGGAAAAGAAAATGTGCCCCTTTAATTTTGAAAATTGCAAATGTTTCTGTGATACATCTAAACTTGCAAGCTTCATGAGACACAGTCAGAGCCATGGGCTAGAGAAAGAGAGAGACTACGTTAGTTTTGGGGGGAACTTCTTGTTACTAGTTTTTGTCACCCCAAAATGGCATGCTGCTTCAATGTCATCTCTGTAGCAAGCGGGGTAAACAAGATAGCAACCCTAGTCACCCCAGAAGCTGGGGCAGTCTTCCCTCCCCCCTTCCCTGCCACTTTTCCTCTTTCATTGCTTGACTAAATCCCTCTGATTGCCTGACTCTAAATATTGCTGGAACTTAGACCGAAGGAGGTTGACATAAGTTTCTTAGAGGCCATTTCTAATAGTTTTGAATGGTGTCTTTGAACAGGGATTCAAAACCAGCATGTATTCTCTTGCTTGGGTTAAACAGCAGTGATGTTGATTTTAGAACATGACCTGACTTTCTTTCTTCAAAATCCTTGTTATAGTCTCTTTGAATGATCATTGCCGTAATGTTGTGTTTGTCAGGACTCCTGAAAGAAACTCAGAGCAGTAAAGAGGCACACTCAAGCCCATGAAATCCGTGCCTTTGATTCCATCACAGGAAACTTTGGCACTTCTCTAAATTATTTTAAAATATGAAATCCAGGTTCATGGGCTCAAAATGAAATGCCAATCATGAAAACTGGGCAAAGAATTTGAAACAATCAAAGTTACAGATGCTTTTCATTCTGAATTGCATGGGTCCATAGTCTAAACTCTTCCTGATTTTTTCATTATATTGAGCAACGGTTTTATAATGTGATACTTTCTATTGTTCTTAAAGTAAATATAAAAGTCAAAGGATGCCCTTTACAAGAAAACCTAATTGTTTTTAAATTATGCTTATAACTCATTTGAGTAGGAGATTGAGTCTTGTTTTTTTTAAAAAAAAAATATGTAGACACTGATCTAACTTCAAACCATGAAGAAATGAAAGTTCAATCTAGTTTTCTCTCTTCTTTGCCCTTCCCCGTGTGTGTTCGTGTGTGTTCATGTGTGTGTGTGTGTGTGTGTGTGTGTGTGTATGTGTGCACGTGCGCGTGCACGCACGCTCATGTGTGCTTGAGAAAAAGTATTACTATATAGCACAGGTTGGCCTTGAACCAGTTATGCTCCTAAACATGTTGCTATAGGTAGCACTTTTCTTCACTGTGTGACATGATATAAATTATGTCTGTTTGTAGTCTCTTTCATCTTCACAATAGGGGAATCTCTGGAAGAGAGGAAGTGGCTTCTAGAAATCCTAAAACCACCAATATTAGTTGCAGTGATACCCTTCCAAAGCTAGTGCATTCCCTTAGCATCTGTTGAAAAGAGTGAAGTATAACAAAGGAAGGCTGCACATTTGCTGGATGGCAGACGACCTACTTGTCAAAACCCAAAAAACGCCTAAAGATGAGGTCGCTGGGACCCATATCTCTTATGACCCAAGCTGATTCCATTTAGACTTTGATCCACCTCTCTCTCACAAGTTATTTTCCATTTTGTTTCTTTCTATAGTATGCCTCTAGAAGCATACTGTGCAAAGGAGGTTTAGAACCACAGTATCATGTTTTATTCTCATTTTGTTTTTGACTGGCAGTTGAAGCTAGGAGCTGACTACAATTCCAGAGGATGTCCGCTTTGATCCTGGTTGAACAGTGTTATGCACTCATATGACAAACTCCTCCACAGCATCTTTTTATTTTAATGGTCTTGGATTTTATTTTCATTCATTGATTGCCTTGCTTGGTACCTAGCAAGAAATACTTAAACTAAAAAATTCCTAATATATAACTTTCAAACTCAACACTTAAACTCCAAGAAAACATGTTAGATAAACACTGGATGTGGGCACTCAGTATTAAAGCAACTTTGTATCTTGTACTTGTAAATACTCTTTAAGTCAAGTTAGGATTGTTGAGACTCTCCTGGAGAACTCTTCTTTAGTCATTGCAAAGAATAACCCAGCTCATCCTGGTCTGACAAAGACTTAAATGGCCTAACCTAAAAGCATTAGGCAAATTATTTTCCATTTGCTGAGTATGCTGTGTAAGAATGACTTAAAAAACAAAACAGTGAATGCAGTAAGATACCTTTTAAATCACACTGTATCCTGCAGAAGAGGTGGTTGCTTAAGCTGGCACTGGAGAATGTTGCAACAAGTAGTGACTAAAATGTGTATGTACCTTTGCTCTGAACAGGTTAGCTAGTGAGTAGCCTGGTTCTTCGATGATTGTTCTGCTTTGGATTGTGTCACTTGTGTGTGATTCCTATGTGGCAACTGGTATTAATAATCCCAAGAACTACCTTTATTCATACATACTTTAAATTTGCAATGTTGATTTCGTAGTGTACTTGCTATTTGTTATTAGCAGTGTGTGGTTAATATTTACAAATCATTTTTAACTTCATAAAATTATATACTACTTAGCTAATATAATTTGTAGTTTTCTACTGTTACACACTTAGACTGCAATTTTTTTGTTTGTTTTGGCTTTTAAAAATTTTGTCATCATCATCACTATCACCAACACCATCATCATCAGCATTAGCATTAGCATCATTGAGACAGGTTCTCACCATGTAATCTGACTGGCCTGGAATTGATTTGTAAACCAGGCTGGCCTAGAACTCACAGAGATCTGTCTGCCTTTGATGCCTGAGTTCTGGGATCAAAGGTGTGCACTACCATGCCTGATTCAATTTATATTACTTTTAATTATGTGTATGTGTCTGTGTGTAGGTGTATGCTTATGAGTACAGTACCCAAGGAGGCCAGAAGAGGGCATTGGATCCCCTGGAACTTGAATTATAGTTGGCCGTGAGACACTTTATGTGGGTGCTGGAAACCCAAATTGGGTTCTCTGCAAGAACAGAATCTACTCTAATGCTCTTAGCCATAGACCCAACTCTCTAGCATCTTGTTTTGCTTTAAAAAAACAAAACAAAACAAAAACAAAAAATAAAAAAAAAAAAACCTATATTGTTTGGGGTTTTTGTTTTGTTTCCTTTTTTGAGAAAGGGTTTTACTAGATAGTCCCCATGATTTCTTTTTTAAATAATAAAATAATTATAATATATAACTATAAATTATTGTATAATATATAGTTATATGTGTAATTATAGCAGAATGACATTAAGAGTAATTTTATTTCTATGTTTGTTTTGTTTTGAACAATAGTGTTTGGTTTCAGCCTAAGTCCCTGGGATATCTAGTCTCAGGTTCTTGGTCATCTAAGCAGTATTGGATACGGATTCCATCTCATGGATTGAACCTCCAGTCAAATCATAAACTAGTTACTCCCACAAGTTCATACCATCATTCCTTAGCATATCTTGCAGAAAGAACACCATTGTAGATCAAAGAGTTTGTGGCTGGATTGGTGTTCATTTCTCTTTTGGTAGCTTGCAGAGTTTGTTCCTGTATCATACTTCAGGTATGAAGGCTCTATATAGGCAATGGCTTGACTTCTCCTTGTTCAGTGAATTGCCTCCACAGCTTCTCATAGACTTTGAAGAAAACAGGTTTTTCAAAAGCCACATTTACACCTGGGTTCTCTGCAAGAGGAGCAATTGTTCCTAACTGCTGAACTGTCTCTCCTGCTCCTGAACTTAACTCTGCAACAGCATTTATTCCAAAACAAGCTGTGCTTTCATTTTGAATATATCATTTAAAAAACCTTAATGTTCCCTTAAGAAAATTCAGTTCAAACTCTGATACTTTGTAATGAAGCTTTCCACATTGAATTCAGCTTTTCCTAATTTCTATTGAAAACATAAAATATGAAAAAAAAAAACACATTTACTGCACAATCAGTGAACAATCACAGTGCTTTATAAAGTAGATTCCTAAGAAGCTTTCTTGCAGTGGTGCCCATAAAAATATTTTTATGAATTCTTTGAGGATTTCGTACAATGTATTTTGATCATGTTTGCCCTCACCTTTACTCCTGCTCCTTCCTGGTCTGCTTGCATTGCTCTGCCCTCCAACTTTGTCTCCTCTTTTATTTATTAAGCCATGAGACTATTGTTTGTACTGGGTGTGGGACCATCCACTGAAGCATGGATGAATTATCTGGACAGATTTCCTGCTACTACTTTCTGCTTCTCCTCTGTACTCCCTACATCCTCGTCCTATCATGGAGTCTCCTTTGCTGTGATTTCTTAGGCCTTTCCCTAACTACTTGACAAATGCTGTTCAGAGCAATATTTGAGTTCCATGGAAGAAACTTCCTCATAGATTTCTAAGTAGCATGTCAGTAGTGATCTACTTTTTGGTCACTCTTGAAATGTCGCTTTCTTTATTTTATGTTTTTAGTTATTTTATTTTTTGATATTATGATAGGATTATATCATTATATCATATATGATTATATTATATAATATGATTATATCGTTTCCCTATCCTTTACAAACTCTCATGTACTTCTCTCTCCCAGCTTACTTTCAAATTCATGACCTCTTTTTTCATTACTTATTACATACATATATGTAAATGTACGTACATATATATTCCTGAATAAACATAATTTGATCAGTCTGTATAGTGTTAATTGTGTATATGTTTTCAGGACTGACCAAGGATAATTTTATCTATTATGTATTCTTAGATATTTCCAATACCTGACAATATTTGTTTACTGCAGGAAGAAATAGTATGCATGTGGTACATGTTTGTTTAGATAAAAGCATAATTGATTAGCATTTAGAAAAATAAATTTAATAAGAAATCCAGAAAGAGAGAGAGAGACAAAGAGATCATCATACAGTTAAAAAAATCCAAAGAAAGAATTTTCTTTTTTTTTTTTTAATTTTTTTCTTATTTTACATCTTGGTCAAAGAAAGAATTTTCATAGAGGTCCTGAGATGATTATAATACTTCTGCCTCTCCAAATTATTTTTAATAGTTATAAAATAGTCATTTAGTAAGTTATATTGTTTTATGATATGAGACACCAATATAATTAAAGCAGATCAGGAGGAAGCTTACCTGTGGATCAAGTTGATATTCTCTCTCTCTCTCTGTCTCTCTGCCCTTACTATTTAGTGACAGATTGTGCCACTTACCTTTGAGAAATAATGTATTCACCAAGAAGTTATGTGATACCTAAGTTTCAAAATATTGTGTACATATGAATTATGCTAGAGTTGAGACCACTGTACCTCTCCCTTACCAAGACGCCTATAGATAGGATACAACATCCTATATTCTAAAAGACAAAGTATATTAGAAACAGGAATACAAGAATAAGTATTCTAGAAGTGAGCCACAAGAAGACTCAGAGGCCATCTGGTCCAAAGCTCAATTTAGTGTTGAAGAAACCCAGAGTGATTAAATCACTGGCTGTAGGTCACACACACTTCCCCACCCCCAGGCCTTAGCTCTGGGAGATGAGACCAAGAATGGGAACTCCACCCATACCTCTGCCCCATTCTGTTGTGCTCTATTGGCTTTGTGTGACAGATAGGATAGGTGGGGATAAGTGACGTCCAAGGATAAGTTAATTTGAAAAGCAGAATAGCAGACATTTGTCATATAAAAGGAACTTAAAGTAGAAAAAAAGTGAGTCATGCAGATAGAGAAGTTAAAAATACAGAATTAAGGCACTCAACACATCATGTGCGCACTGTCATCTCTTCTCATGGAAAGAAAAAAGAAAAGGGAAAAAAGTTGCTTAGCTCTGACCTGTAAGGAGTATGTGCTGAGAAGTGTGGCAGGCATAAACCCGGGTGCCATAGACACTCGCTCACACCAGCTCTCAGCGCTGGCAGCGTGCCACAGATGGCAGAAGCTCCGGCACTTCTTACCTGATGGCGCCGGGTGGTGGTGACAACTGAGAAGGGCTGTTTCTAGCTCAAATTGGAGGGGAAAAAAAACAATTTTAAAAACACACTCTTAGAATATGTTTAAGTTATTGACCACTAAGAACAATGTTCAGGAAACCCCATAGAAAACATAACTTGGCTCTTTTATCACCCAGAGAACAGTTGTAAAACCAAGAGTGCTACCACCTTCAACTATTTCATATTAAGGGCCAGAAGTTAACAGTACAAAGAATGTTGATTCTTCTAATTCAGGGTCTCAGAGACTGGATCTAGATTGTTCTTTGTGCCATCAAAGGATGTGGGTGGGGCGGGGAGACCTCCAGTGCATGGGACTTTGCCAGGTACCAGAAGTACTGGAGGGAGGAGCATGTTGTCTTTCTGGAAGCATACACTTACAGTCTAAGCTTCCTTTGTTTGAGCACTGTATTCGAACTCTCCATGAAAAAAGTTGCATGTGAGAGTAGGAGTACAAAATGGTGAAAATAGTGCAGATAACTCAACAGAAATGGTAGTCATCAACCCAGTCGTCATTGAAGTCAAGTAAAAGATGAGACAAAAACAGACTTCTGCAGTGTGAGTTTTTTCTAGAAGAAAATGGAGCATCACTCCTCTGCTGGGTAGTCTGAGGCTTCCTTTAAACACAGCATAGGTGTACTGAGAGCAGTGAGCCATTCTTGCAGGCTTGGAAATCTGTGTTTGTACTCCCTACCTAGACATCTTCCTTACCATAGATCAAGGTCCCATCCAAGAACAAAGGAAAAGCCATTTCCAGCAGAGCCTGGAAAGCCCAAGGCAGCACCTTGTTCTGTCATTTCTAGTCTTATGCTACCTTAGTGGAGAGCATGACTGGCATTTTCACCAATTATCAATTATTCATTTGCCCAGATGAGGACCGTGTGTTAATCTTGCATGCTTTTAGAGCTGTTTGGAAATGTCTGGGTTTTTTGTTTGTTTGTTTGTTTTTTGTTTGTTTCTCAGTGTCTATTTTTTGAATTTCCCCCTCTCTGCAGTTCTTGATTTCTAGCTCACAGAGTGCAGAGGATTTAATCGCTGCTGTGTATCTGTGTTGCAGCATGAGAGAGCAATGCATAAGAACTCTTCTAATTCTTTGGGGTTGATGGGTTTCGTGTCTGAAGAAAACAAATCTCATAGTAACCAAGCTGGAATCTAGTAAATTTCTCCTTTTCTTTTTCCCTCCCCCTTTAGCATTGAAAGCCGAAAAGAGAAGAGAGCTGACTCAGGGAAAGGTGTTGACAGGGAGACTTGTCTATGACTTGATCTTCAATTTATTTTTTACATATATATGAGAAGAGTGTCACAATTATTAATAAAACTACTTTGATCATGTATTGTAAACCCCGTCTCCCACCCCAAATCCACCTTCATACTGTAAGTAGTGCCATGCTTGCTCCAGCTCTGACTCTGGGCAGAGTGACCCCCTTGTAAGCAGATGCAATATCCCCCGTGTTATTCCTGTGAGAGGCTCACCATGACAGCATTTGCACTGTCCACATTGTGAGAGCAACACTTTCTTTAAAACAAAACAACAACAACAACAAAGAGCCCTGTTAACCTAGTTTGTATTTTCCTGCCTTAGTAACCTGAAGATACCTGATCATTTTATTCAGAAGAATTTTGAAAGTAGTCTCACTTTTTCTTTTTTATGAAAAGAAGGTTACCTTGAAAGCATTTTAAACAAATGTATTTATGTATTTCCTGACATAATATGATATGTTTAATATTTAATATATCTAAAGTTAAGTGAGAAAGAAACTTGTTCATACCTTCTTAAAAGTCATACTGCAAGAGAGTCCTGTAGTATTTGCTTAGAACTCACTAGAACTCATGTTGTGGTCAAGTGCTAGGCTTCTGTGAAATGCTTTAGAGATATTTGAAGAGTTTTTTGTGAGATTTTTTTTTTTCATTTTAAGTCTTTACCAGAAATTTGCTATTGAATTTCTCTCCCATTGCCAACGGTTACTTCCCACATACACCTATGACATACATACTTAAGGAATCCACACGGTGAGTCATTGCACGTGAAGTGTCATCCCTGTACAGCTGTTCCTTTGATAATGGTCACATACTGCTTAGTATTGGTCCCTATCATATTGTCATGTAAGACCAACAAACAGATCTCCAACTGTAACTGTTTTTGCAAAGTTTTTTCCACATTTTAACTAAATGCATGTTGTGGAAAACAATCTTTGAACTAAAATTCAGCTTCTGTTAGAGGAGGTTATGTAAATATTTCAGTCCATATGAAACAACCCAACTTTACTAAGCTTATTGAAACAGGAAGAAAGTTAGGGATTTTTGAGTATTACTAAATATAGATTTCATTTAATTTTAGATGAATGTGAGCTAATAAAACTGAAATCTCATAGCATTCTTAGTTCCTAAGGATTATAAATAATTGACAGTCTTATAATCTTTCAGTGTCCAAATTAAGAAAAATTCAGAGCCCTGTGGCTTTTATAAACTATATGTACTCCATGTAAATGCACATAATTGGACAAATCTCTCTGTTACTAACGACGGTGAAAAGCAGCAAAGTCTACCTTAACCTTAACATTTTGATATCTTTTGAAAAAAAATTTCTCAGTCTTTTCAGGAGCCATTTTTTAAAAATGAAATATGAGCTAAAATTATGAGAAGAATTTGCATTTAGTAAGGTTCGTATTTATAAATGGTGAAGAAAAATGCAAAACTATGTGTTGCAAATATGCTGCCTTTGTGTATGTTGTAACCTGACACTCCATCTGAACATTCTCACTGTCTATTATTTAGCAAGTCAATCCCAAAGCACTCTCCTAGTGTTTCCATACAGTAGTACCTGTTCTTTTAAAAATAATCAGTGAATTAAAACCCTCACATGATCGCTGGTTTGAACAAGCAATCATCCCATGAAATTCTGTATTTCTGAGTATTTTTATAGTAATGTTGTTCTTGTGTGAATTTTAATGCTATCTCAATCTTAATATTTTGAAATCACATAAATATAAGAAAATGTAGTATTATATATTTACTCCTAATTTCAGATTCCTGGTCAAAATTACTGAATATCTTGAATGTAATTTATTGCAATGTTTAAGTAATGTGTAAATGTGACTAGGATATTGTGTTTTTCAAAACTAAGAAATGTTATGTGGAAATAAATATTTATCCTAACTAATTTTCATGCTCATTTTAAAGTGTGTGCAATGTGTCCTGTCTTTATTTTTCCTTCATATTAACCAATAAATCGGGTATTTTAATGGTCTAAGCATTTTTAATTAAAACATCACCACTGTTAAAAAAAACAAACAAAAACATGTGTGACATAAACACTTTAAGAGGACTCAAACAGAACAGAAGATAATGACAAGTTTGTAAGGGTTCACATGCTTTTACCCCCATAGAACATGCACAAGTAACATTACCTCTATGGCCAGTAAAAAACTAATTAGTAGGATCCACACTATTAGAACTCATGAATGCCTTCCTCTAACCTGTGTGGGGAAAGTTTTCCCTAAATGTGCCCTTTCTGTTTGCTGTAGAGGTCAAATGGAATCACTTTTTTTTTTCTTTTTGTGGCCATCTAGTAGATTGTTGGGAAGAGTGTATTCAGAACTGCACCTGCTAGGTAATATATCTCTTGACTAGTAGGCTTACTTGCAACTGCCGCTATTTAACAGCATCCGTGTTTTTCCTAAATATCTTGTTGGGATGATTCAGACCCCTACCTACAGACATCTAGTTTGACCATTTGTTCAAGATGCTGTCTTTTCTCCAGTGTGTATTTCCATAGGTGTATAAATTTATGTCTGGGTTTTCAACTTGATTCCAGTGATCAACGTGTTAGTTTTTATGCCAATACTCTGCTGTATGTATTACTATAGCTCTGTAATACTACTTGAAATTGGGAAGGGCAAGACCTCCAGCAGTCAATTTATTTTTCAGGGATGTTTTAGCTATGGGGGTAATTCAGATGCATAATTTGATAGTGACACTCCAATGATGACTTCCAGATCTTTTAGGATTCTCTTAAGTCTTAGAAGTAGAGTTATTCTGCTTCCTTTATGCACTGACTTCTGTGTTTCTGTTTAGCTAGAGCCCATTTTACCCTGAGTTGCCTTTCTATCATTGACAGACAGATTCCTAACTTTTCAGGATGCCATCTGGGTGGTAAACATCTGTAATATCAGCACTCAGGAGGCTGAGCTAAGAGGACTGCCAGGATTTTGAGGTCAGCCTAGGCTATTGTGGACTTATGATCAGCATGGCCTAAATACAGAAAGGTGTAGTCTTAAAAAAAAAAAAAAAGTGGCAACCTCCTGAAAGTTTTACAAAAGTCATATAGTCTCCAAGTATTTTGAGAGAATTGTTGTGGTTAGTAATCAGAGATGACCTTCTGATTACTCCTCTTCAGTCCTAATGACCTCATTTCTTCTTGCTATGAACTGAGCTTATATCTAGGTCCACTTCCTTTTGTGTGTGGAGTCCTAGGCTTCTGCCAGGCAACCTCATTCCTCCATTTGTTTATAAGCCCCTTGATGGAAACAATGGTGTCTTAACCTTCCCTGTTAACTCTGTAGGGTCTAATTCTGTGCTCTGATATTTACCCAAACAGAAAATGTTGTTTCAATAAAGTGTTCAGAAAATGCTGTTGTTCAGTTAAGAATGATAAAGGGTACATTACAATAGAAAACACTAGCTTTGCATAGTGGACACTACATAGATCTGGCGCATGAGAACATGGAGGTGTAAGTTCAGAATCTATGCAATGTAGGCAGCCACCAAAGTAGGAAAAACAGCAAAATACTATGGCTAGGAAAGAGAACTGGAAAGGACGATGATAAGCATTGCATATATGTAAATCTCAGCCATGCAACAGTTCTGGGGTAGGAAGTTTTATACCATTTTAGAACTCAAGTAGAGTTGAATTAAAAAAGTCTGCTAATGTTCCTTAAATACTATGTTTGTCACAATCGCTGATTATCTTGCCCTATGTCTGATCAGCTGAACGACACTAAAAATCAAGCTGGAGATGAGAAAGGATTTTGTTCCTCCCTAATAGGGTATTCACATTGGTTCTTAGAACCAGAATTAGATTGAGTACAAAAAAATTTCTCCTCAATATACTATACTTTCTTCATCACTCATTTCTCCATGATAACAATTGAACTGTAACTAACCAGTGAATTCCATTTTGTTGCTCACAATTCACAAAGTAATTTAGACAGGTCCATCCCTTCATGTGCCTTCAAGGACCCTCATCTTCATGTCTCTTGCATTTGAGGATTCAAACAATCCTTGATCAGAATGTTTCTAAACAACTATGTCTGCATCAACATGTATTTGCTTTTCCTCTTATACACAGCATTTGCATTGTCCTGGATATTACAAGAATCTAGAGATTATTTGAAGTATAGGAGAAGACAAGCTTCTATTTCTATAGTTTATGCCATTTCACAGGCGATATTTGAAGATTAATGGTTTTGGGTACCTATATCCACAGGAGAATCTAGAACCAATTCCCTGTAGATAGAGAATGAAGATAAGGATTTTGGTTGTTGAATGGTCACAATGTTGAATGCTGACTAATCCTACTATCATGACAGATGCATCTTGAGAAATTTCACAAGCTTGGAGAATTGCTTCAGAAAGGCTATGTAGAATAAGGACTTCTATTTAATTTGTTGACATTTGTAGTCTATAACAGTGGTTTTCTACCTAGGGTCATAACCCCCTTGAGGGTTGCATTACTGTTTCACAGGAGTCACCTAATACCATAAGAAAACACAGATATTTATATTATGATTTATTGGTAGTAGCAAAATTACAATTATGAAGTAGCAACAAAAATAATTTTATGGTTGGAGGTCACCACAACATGAGGAACTGTATTAAAGGTGCAGCATTAGGAAACTTGAGAACCACTGCTCTATAAGCAAGCATTGACATACCTTTTTCAATAGCAGTAAAAAATAAAAAATCTCATTAATTCAAATTCTGGGGCTTAAATGTTAATAATGTCAGAAAAATACAACATGCAGAGAGATGATCAAATACTGCTGAGCTCCACAGTGGTCTTGTTAATTCGACATTCTGAAATTTCTTGTGGGGTAGTCAATGATGTTATGGATTATAACCCCCATTTGTGTTTCATTCCCAGCCATCTGCATCCCCAAAAACATCCTGAATATATGCTTCAGGTCACTCAGGACGTATGTGAAAATACTGCTGAAATAACTGTCATAAAGTTGGCACAACAAAATTATCTTATTTTAGGAAAAAAAAAACATGCCTGTGTTTTGGTATGTTTTTTCACTTAGAATTTATTGAATCTTAAATATTGTACAAATCTAGTAGTCTTATAAGTCAGTATTCTCACTCCAGCTTAGAGCAAATGTAGTAAGTGCCAAGAAGTGGG